TTGCAACAACATTCTAGATACTTTAGGTAAAATACAAACAATGTATAGTTGAACTACGCGCGAGCAGCAGCATTCTTTCAGCATGCTGTTTCTGTCACTTTGGAGGCAAGAAGTTTCCATAAATCGCGGTTTTCTACAACTTAAGTGGCCGAAAGTGATAAAAATGTGCTGTGGTATTGTACCAGTTCATGCTCATGGAGGAATAAGGATAATGCTTAATGCAGCAATGGTAAAATGTGTGTATATTGGGTTCGGTGGGCGTTGGCCAGTTCTTGGGCGAGAATTCTGGTACTTTCGGACCTTGAAGGTAGTTTCACAGAGGGCAAGTTCTGGCCAGTAAGCGCGGGGAACGCCGCGACGGAACGGAAAGGAATTTTTTTTATACGGAGTGATAGGGAATTACTGAAGACAATGTGAAATTCCGGAGATTGTGGGTGTTAAAGGGTATGACCTAGGTATATTCTTGGGAAGAGATAATGCGGGAGGGCCGGTACTCGTTAGAGCAGGGAAAATCAAATGAATTAAGTGCCCTGTGGTACTATGGGCGTTTGAGCTGAAAGATTCGGTGGGGGGTTGTACTGAAGAGAGTCAATTTAGAAATTTGAAGAAGTGAGTAAAGTTGAGATCTGTGAAGGAGAGTTGCCTGGACCATTTTAATGCAAACCTGAAATTTGCATTGGGGAGAGACGAAGGTATAATAAATGAAAGAAGGGGTCAAGAGCCTGAAAGGCAGAGGAATCTTGGGAGCAAGCGGAAAATAACATCCAGAATGGGTGAATAATTAAGTAATGAAGGCCCCAAATATGTTGCACTTTTGAGACTAGAAAAGAGGGGTCGAGAGCACAGGGGCTGATGTCTGATTGAAAATAGAAGGACGCAGAATCGGGAGTCAATACAGCTGTGCTTGTGGTGGAAACAGAAACAGGGATAGAGGTCGCCACGCGGCAGACCTTCTCCATCCATCTTGCGAGGCCCGAGCATCCGCTATCTCTCAAAATGCATTTCGTGCGAGACGTCCTTCAAAATCTGCAAAATGTATGTTGTTGCCCCCTCCCCTCTGTGGTCGGGGGATTGTGTGGGTGGATGCAGCGTAGCAGCCGTAGGTGAGTAGAAGAGAGGTGGTATATAGGTACGCTATGAATGGTATATAGATTGCGTACAGGCATGCAATGGGTAGTTTGTCAACCGTAGGATAACATATGAGTAGTTTATAGGCAGTACAAGCAGGTTGTACATATGTGTCTATATATACACCTAAATATTTTGTAGGCAGTATGGCTCTCAAATGCTGCCAATAGTGGAAGGTTGTGGCTCTGAAATGCTGCAAGCAGCATGCAAATGAAAGATTTTCGGGGAAAGGAGGGCACCATACCATTGGCCCAGGGACCACGAACATATGTACTTTTGTTGTGTTGTGTTATATATATATACTGTATGTATATATATATGTATATATATATATATGTATATATATATATACATATATATATATATGTATATATATATACATATATATATATGATTATATATATATATATGTGTGTGTGTGCACTTGAGCACGACTGGGATATAAACATCCGAACGATCTCTGTCACCATCCACAGAGCCATGGAGGCCGGGCCTTGTGAAGATGGTGTGGGTAAACCTGAGGACTCGGATCGCCTCATCCACCACCATCATGGCCTGGGATTCGGCTGGGATGACAATCATCCGATGACAATCCCCAGGTGGTCTGGTAGTATAAAGCCAAACAACCAGCCAGAGCTTTGGGGCAATGCTCAAATGGTTTTTTATGGTTTTTTTTCAAGGTTTGCAGATGGGGCGTCCTCGTTCACGACCAGATTTGACAAAACCCTTGCTCAAAAGTCTCGGAAGTTGTTGGTTTTTGACTCCACAACAGACCTTCAAATGAGGGATTTTTAGCGTCGCACAGGGCCCCCCCAGCATAGTCTTTCCAAGCAAAAAACGAAATGCTCCAAGCGAATTTTAGATTTTCTGCTTCCGATTGATTCTCAATCAAACGCTCCGAATAGATAGGGACTTCAAGCAAGTTCGAATTCAGCTATATTTCTGACCCCATGTTGGGTGCCACCATAGGACTTTCTGGGATCCAGAAACCAACACAGATGTCTCCAAGCTCCAACCACCCCAGCAAAACCCAGCACCTGGCTATAGGAGATGAGTTTGGCCCAAGCAAAGACCAGCACTGCCGCTATCTCCACCTGCGACGAGTCATTGGGATACCAATGGGCTAGAAAAAATCACGAATGTTTCACAGATATGTAGCATTTGACCATCTCAAAATGGGAGTAGCTAATTTTGAGCCATGCCAGCCATGCCCCCAAAAAACAACCGTTGTTCGCATGTCGAAATCGCGCAGTGTCCATCGATTTCGATGCAGTGAAAATGACCAACCATGGCTGTCTGACACGCCTCGGCACAAGCAAACTTGTCCTGATCGAAGTAGCCAGCTGCCGCTGCGACCTAAAATGGCTGGATGTGTGATGGATATCAATGGATGTTAAGTGGATAGCTCCAAGCCAGATATGATCAGCCCATTCCGCTAACCTGCGGTTACCTGCGGTTACCTGCGGTTACCTGCGGTTCTTCGATCGACATCCGCGAAGAAGAGAGAAATAACTCGACATCCGCTTCCATTTAATCTCAGTATCCCACACCACGTTTGAAAGAGTGTGGCAAAGACGTCCAATCAGAACATCCAAATCCGAACTGCAAAGCAGTTAAGGTCCCCTGCCAAAGCAGAGGATGGCTTGCCGCTAGGTGTATTCAGATCGACCTGCCAGGCGCATGGCTATTGTTTGGGTCCGCTTGAAACTGCCAATCACTGTAGCCTACCCTGTTGATGCACTAGAATTGGCAAGTGCTTGTATGGGTTTGATAGGTTCCACATGAGTGTTGGCCAAATCTCCCCGTCCTTTGTTCACACGAAATCTAGGTGGTTGATCATCATCCACCCTATTAAAGATGGTCATTTGGTGGGCTATACATGATGTATACCCCATTTCAAGACACAGCCAAATCGGATTGGCTATGATAGATATAATCCCTTCCCCCGTTCATTTGGTCAACACCCCCATTGGGACCATAGGTTTATGGATAGAAATGGGCTGTTTATTTTTGTTTTATGGGATTAGTTGGCTAGATATCCCATCATGTTAAACAGCCCATAAAACAACAAAAACACATCATATCAATGGGATTAGTTGTTTTTTCATGTGATATCCCATCATATTGTCCCATAAATATCCCACAAAAAATATTTAAAAAAGAAACACCATCATCACTGCGGCTAGTCATCCCCTCGGAAGTGTCCTGCAGGTGTTCCCAGAGAGGCACTAGCACCTCCCTAGCCTGGGTGACCCACGGAAAAGCATTTCGGACCTGGTGAAATAGGGGAAGGAACCAACCATGGTGATGGCACGTGAAGATAATAGGATAACAATGGAATATATATATATAATATAACCTATACTTATCATATTCAATATGATGTTTGGATGTCTGAAAATCACTTATTAAATAACAACAATTCAATGGGAATGTGATGATAGAGCATCAAATTTGGGGGCATCCCATTCTCAGACAAACTCATATGTACAACCACCAACCAAACAATTCAGGGTCCATTGTGTCAATGCTTCTAGATTCTAGATACACAGAAATGTTGTCAGAACATCTGAGTCATCTGAGCAAAAAAACTGTTAAGGGATATTTCAAAGATTTCCAAGCGACTGTATACGGTGTATACGTGAATTTCAAGCCGCGTTACTCCATAGGAAGTTGTGAAATTCTTCCAGTTGAATCCGTTGCCACGGCCTAATCCTTTTCATTGGATTTCTACGGCCTTGCAACAGGTAAATGCTGAATTATTAGTCAGTTGGGATGATGAAATTCCCAATATATATATATATACAATATATATATGGAAAAATAAAAAATCTTCCAAACCACCAACCCATATGAATATTGATTCATATTGGATTGCCCCTCTATCGATGAAACATGGCTTTATAATCTTTATACGAAAACTCTCGACCATTTCGTGACAATCACCGAACAAGTGCGGCGCCATCATAGAATTGCTGCCCAGATCTCCTACAGCCCTGAATTTCAATGGAAAACTCGGGGGTCATATCCATCATATCCGGCAATGAAAAAGTTGTGAATAGTTGTGAAAAATTCGTCCATAAATGGCTTAGGTTACTTCAAATGTGAGAGATTTTCCCATGGTCCACCACTGGTTGCCTCCTCCTCGTTGATTCTGATGTGCACGACCGCCCCGCTGGGCGCTGCCGGCGGATTGGGCTCCTCGGAGATGATATGTGGTCTCAATGTAGAAATCCCCTACTTAAACCCATAGTTTCTAGGGCTGTGTTTAATACCTCTGGAAGGGATGATTCATGATTCTTAATGTGTGTGTGATGCAGCATGTTATGGTGATGATGAACTTGGAGCCAAAGGAATGAAATGGCTAAGACTCTTTGACCCAGTTCCCACCAGAAGTTGAAGTGATCAATACTAGAAATGCCCAACATCTTGACCGATCTATAAGTTACGCGCTTGGGATCTGCCCCTGGAATAGTATTATTCACCTAGTCCAGCAGAAATCAAGGGCTGGGAAGTCCAGTGGGCAGCGCTTCCATACAAAGATGATCAAATGTGAGAGTATGGATGAGTATGGAATCCTGCTATAGAGACTGTGACCAACCAGATTCCCCCCATTGTTCAAATTTGCCATCCCACCAACCCAATGAGACCAGTCCGCCAGTCTCCAGTTTGACTGCGCCAGAGCATGGTGCGTCGAGCTGCGTCCACCGAAACCCAGGGAAGCCCTTCATGACTTGGCAAGGTAATCGCTTCTCGAACCCCCTGAAAGATCCTGACAGAAGGGGAGGGATATTTGACACCTGCGTCCAACCCGGGCCGTCGTGCTGGCCTTCACAAGTCATCCGTGGCAGGCTCCGGCAGCTGGCGCAAGTTCAACGCATCGCTTTGCAGGGCGACTGCCAGATGGATGATGCGTCCATGACACCAGAGTAGCTGCCATCGTTACCTTGGAAACTGCACTTGGGGAGCAACACGACCTACAGCCTCTGCAGTTCCGATGCTCGATGTTCTGAAAGAGTGCATGACCAAAAGAAGTGTGTGAAATATAAAAGTCGCCATGGTCTGACATGTTGTTCCCATTGCATCTGCAGGCTAATCCAAAGACCCCCTGTAGTCTCAAATGTCTCAAATGACAAAGGAAAACTACAGTAGACATTTGAATCAATAGATGCTCCACTCCTGTTAGATAAGTGCATGGAAGAAATATTGCACCAGTTGATCGGTGGTTTCTCCCATTATTTGTAAGGTTTCAACCGTCCAAGGTGGTGCAGGATTTCTTCCATCCATAGTATGTCACGGGTGTAGAATAGTTTTTGGTATTTTTTTTGCCTCAGGTTTTGGAATTTATTTTGGCGTTCTTTCCGTTTGCCTTGTATTTTCAACAGTTTGGAACTAGAACCTGTCATTCTGCATGGTATTTGCTACATTTTGGCATGGTCACTTTGCATTTTGCATGGTTTTTGCATGTTTTTGCTACATTTGGCCATGTTCACCTTCCATTTTGCATGGTATTTGCCACATTTTGGCATTCCAACCTCGCATTTGCATCATATTTGCTACATTTTGGTACTTCAAAGGTTCATGTGGGTCTCTTGAGGGTTCTTTAGGCGTTCATTTAGGGTGTCATTTAAGGTTTCATTTAGGGTTTCATTTAGGGTTTCATTTAAGGTTTCTTTACGGTTTCATTTAGGGTGTCTTTAGAGTTTCATTTAGGGTTTTTTCTGGTTTCATGTAGGGTCTCTTATCGGGATTTCTTATCAGGAGTTCTAAACGTTCAAATGGGTTTCTTTAGGGATTCTTTAGGGTTTCATTTAGGGTCTCATTTAAGGTTTCTTTAGGGTCTCATTTAGAGTTTCTTTAGGGCTTCTCTAGGGTTTCATTTAGGGTTTCTTTAGGGTTTCATTTAGGGTTTCATTTAGGGTTTCTTTGGGGTTTCATTTTTTGTTTCTTTAGGGTTTCAATTTAGGCTTTCAATTTAAGGTTTCATTCAGGAGTTCATTTAAGCTGTCTTTAGTGTTTCATCCCAGGGTTTCTTATCAGGATTTCTTTTCACGATTTCTAAACGTTCAACTGGGTTCCTTTTGGGCTCCTTTAGGTTTCATTTAGGGTGTCATTTAGCTTTAGGGTTTCATATAGGGTTTCATTTAGGGTTTCTGTAGGGTTTCATTTAGGGTTTCTGTAGGGTTTCATTTAGGGTTTCATTTAGGGTTTCTTTAGGGTGTCAATTTAGGGTTTCAGCTAAGGTGTCAGTTAAGGTTTCATTTATTTTTTTTCAGTGTGTTGTTTAGGGTTTCTTTGGGATGTCATTTAGGGTGTCATTAAAGTTTCTTTAGGGTTTCATGTATGGTTCTTTAGGATTAATTTATGGTTTCTTTAGGGTTCATTTATGGTTTCTTTTGGGTTCAGTTAGGGCTTCATGTAGGGTTTCTTATCAGGATTTCTTTAGGGTGTCTTTGGGTTTCACCTAGGGTCTCTCTAGGGTTTCATTTAGGATACAAACAGAACAGAATAAAGCAAAAGAAAATGAAAAACAAAGAGACAGTAAAGACAGGAAGCAAAGAAGCAAAGGAGCAGGAAGTAGAGCAGCAAAAACACATGCCTGGATGAAGAAACAGTAGAATAGTAGAAGTAGAAAGGCACAGAAGTACAAAAGCAGAGAAGCAGGGAAAACAGAGAAGCAGAAAAGCTAAGAAGCAGGAAAAGCAAAAAAGCAGAAAAGCAGAGAAGCAGGGAAAGCAAAAAGCAGAAAAGCAGAGAAGCAAGAAAAGCAGAGAAAGCAATGTAAGCAGAGAAGCAAAAAAGTAGAGAAGCAGAAAATCAGAGAAACAGGAAAGCATAGAACCAGGAGCCAAAAAAGAACAAAACCTGCCGCGAAAAAAAAATAAATAAATAGCCCTCCGTATGTCACTCCTCCACGCAAGCAACCCCCGGTTCGAAAGGCAAACCCCCGCCGCTATCAGGTCGCTGTGATCTCGCAGCTGTTCGTGAAATCTGCGCAGGTCGCAACAAACTTCGTTCAGGGCAGTCTCTTCTTCCACCTGAGACCATGAGTCGACTGGCCTCCCGGCCCCAAATTCAGATCAACAGAAGATCTCCAACTCATCAACCACCCCAACTCCACTTCTTACCATCATTTTCCCCAACAAAACCGACCATTTTGGGGCACATCCTTTCAACACAAAAACTCATCACCCATCCGATGTTTTGTGCCAGCCACATAAACCAGGGCCATGGAGTTCACACAGTGCCGTTCAGGGCCATCCCCACCCAGGCACTGGCCATCCATAAAGACATGACCCAGGTGCCCTCCGCAACTGCGACACAGGATCTCACGGCCACCAGAGACCCTGAAGCTTGGGCTTCAACGGGTTCAATGTTTTTTGAACACTTGGGAGAATGGCAAGCCAAGTACAGACCGCAAATCGAAGGTATGGGTTGGGAAACAAGTCACGACTGGTTTTGACACAAAGTTTGGTGGTTCCTCAATGTTCCTCAAACAGTTTCCGGTTGTATTTGTGGATCCCCTTGGGAAAACATCATTTGAAACCACCACCAAACCACCACCAAACCGGCCCTAAAAATGTCATCCGAAGCTCCAATCCACTTGCGCAACCACAGAGGCCAAAGATTCATCGAAATCCATGGCGAGGCATCCTTGAAGGGCCAAGTAGGGTTGCCATATGTTGCCATCATGTTGCCATATGTTGTAATCCAACACGCTTGGCTAAAATTCCAATTTTGATGATTTCATACAGCCCAAATACGACTGAAAGTACTGAAAGTATTCACTGGAATCGTCCCTTGGTCCAAAGTAGTTGCAGAGCTGACAAAAATTGCACCTAGGTGGAAATAAGACGGTAGTGAAAGTTTGCTCATGCGCATCAACCCTGTTGAGTCTTACCATTTCTTTGCAACCAAACAAGATACCAACTCAATGTAGGTGACTTCCTTGTAATTTGGCACGTGCCTCCCTTTTTGGCGGCAAACAAGTCAAACTTGTCCACGGCTGGACCCCAATCCACCTGTAATCACGAAAGTAAATCACCTGAAGAAATGCGAAAATGCAAATATATCACTCTAGTCCACTCTAAAACTTCTTTGATAAGTTTCCTTTCCAAATTAAGCTTTTGGCTGGTTGGTCTACATCCCCATTCTTGGTGGTTTCCAAAGGCAGCAGTTTTCATGCAGTATCCAGGGTTTCCCCGGTCATCATCGCACAAATCCAGATCTCAAGCACCGAACCAAGCTTCTCGAAAATGCTGCCCACCCACAGCCATTCTTCATCTTGCCCTGAAAGGAGTAGAGTGGCGTGGCACATGCTGCGCAACCTCGACACGCCGGTAAAAGAAGTACGGAATGTTTCCTGAAATGGAAGATCTGAATCAAGAACCTCAAAATTGAGATTCGAATTCCGAATAGACCATAGTTTGGCACAGCTCCACTATTTCCGGGAGGAATTGGTTCAAGCAATTCGCCGACTCCAGGGAGCAAGAGTCCATTCGACGTCCCCAATTTTGAGACAAACCCATGTGAGTCGAGTATGGCCACGTCATGGCGGCCAGTTCTCCCCTCCGCTTTGCACTGCAACCATGTCCGCCAAAAGACGGAAATGCCCGTAGGAAGGGAAGAAGGCATTGTACTTCCTGTGAGTCTTTTTGTGGGGAAACACATGGCCGGGGTTCAGCTACCCTAAAGTATTCCATAATAAGTTATAAGTTATTACCAAACATGTCCAAAGCATGCCAAACTGCGGAAACTGGGGTCCTGAGATGCCTACAGCCACTCTTCTGGTGAAAGCTAATACAGACCAAGAAACTGATGGTTTGGGGTCGAGGTAAAGATCAAGCCCTTGGGTGCCCCAATAAAGATCCAGCATGATCAAAAATAGGAGAAATTTGAAATATCTCTGGAACAATGAGGGGCTTCGGCAGTTGCCTCACGGCCAAGTCTCCCTTTGCCACGTGGTTCCGTAATCTTCTTCCTCATCACCTCATACACCTCCTCACTCAACTCCAGTGCCCAGAGGTCCTCCTGTTGTACCAGCAGGGGCCAATCCTCAGCCATGGAAGCTATGGGTGTTTTGAAAGGCATCCTCAACTCCAGGGGTCATAGGCATGGCTGGCCTTGGATCTGGCTGAACTATGCTTCAAATGAAACTGGTCTTCCGACAAGTCAAATGAAAGATCCATAAAGATCCTTAAAGATGTGCTGGCAATCCCCCTGCCGCTTGGGGTGGCATTTTTGAACACATCCCGCAGGTCTTCTTCAGGCGATCCCTTCCAGAACCGCCAAGGCTCGTGTTCCGAAGCTTCCTCCAGCAGCCTCTTCCCACCCGCCAGGATGCTGACCCATCCCATGGCAGGACCGTTACCACTGCGCTTCTTGTAGTGCAAGCGGCTTCCTACGACCTTTGGAGCGGATGGAGCAGAGGTGATGGCGAAGGGATCCTGAATGTCACCGGTACCATCAAGCCATCCAATTTTAGGGGTTTGAGCCATAGCCGCCATAGCCATATTGACATTTCATCATCCACTCCAAATCCACGAAAACACCCGCAACAAACACCTTCTGTGTTTTCCTGTTGATAAGTTGCACCCATTAATTCTGTTCCGCATCTGAATACCCCAAACACTTTTTTGGGGTCCCAACAGTTTGGGGCACTTTGGTACACGTCAAAGTACCAATGGGTCCAAAACATGTGTTGGGCACATACCATATAACATATTATAAAATCACTGTCCAATTACCTTCTGTATTCCCATCATACCAGCATTTTTTGTGCTGGAAGCCACCTGCAGTTCTTCCACGGTAGCCCCATGCTGCAAGCGTTCCTCCATCGCTCCACTTTCCAGGTCGCGCCCATCCCGCACCACGAGGCCACCGCTGTCGCAGCCCCCCACCACGCGCCACAGGCGCATGCGGACCGAACTGGGGCTGATGATGGCAAAACCCTTCGATTCCATGCTGAAAATCTGCAAAACTTCATGTCATCCCTAGTACAACGGCATAGAATAGATAAAACCTCAGCCCAAGGGTTGGTTTTAACACCATTTATATGGAGGAACTTCATGAGTTCAGACTACCCAGGGAGTTCTGTGCATTGACCTTCACTGTCCACTGGAAAAGCGCGCCACGCGCGTACTGTGACCAGTGCGACATGGATATCTGTTTTTATCATGAGTGGTCAAGAGTGATCCCCACTGCATTAGTTCTACATTCAGTGCTCCTGTTTTTTGACCTTCCTGGAGACAGATGCTTGACATGTCGCTAAGTTTCTCAAACTGCGCTTGTGCCATACAAAGCTGCTGAGGAAGCTCAAATGCTGTTGGCCTCTTTCGCTGAACTGAACATCGGTTCCACAAATTTGAGCCCCAAGTGGATAGATTTTGGTCAAGCCACTTGGTAGGAAAAAAATGTTGGGTATACCCAGCGTCAGCAAGTCTTTTTCGGAAGAATAGGTCATTCAAACCCGCAGTCAATTGCCGCAGTCGCAACTGCCCCGCAGAAAATTCTGGGCAACTGATGGCAACTGTGCCATGGCTCCTGCACTCCACACCATGGGGTCCAAGTCTTGGTGGGAATCTGAACGGAAATCGGAGAGCCTGGCACCAAGACACAACGGGCCACAACGGGCGGGCTCTTGGTGAACAAAACATGGGGATCTCAGCAGAGCAACAAGTACGTCGTGTACGTCGTGTACGTCGTGTACGTCGTGTACGTTTATGTGTGTGTTTACTTTTGTGGGAATATCCTCCAAGACACAAATATGTTCTGAAATCAATATCTATCATATCTATCATTTTATATCTCTTGGATCGATGTCCTCATGTCCTCCTATTTGGATTCCATAGATTGTGATTATTACAATCCTGGACCACTGAACATCATGCACACCTCTGAAGTCTCCCGAGGAACCAAAAAGAATTGGGGCCTCTGGACCGTATGCACTGCAGCGTGGCCCAGTTGGGTGATAGCCTCAAGGGTCAGCTGCGGCTATGGGAGAATGTGCATTGTTGTTTGGTGCCGTTGATCCCCTATCATACATACATACGGAAATCAACCGACTGCAATTGGATGGTGGAAACCATGGTTTCATGACAGTTCCCCTTGAATCAACCTGGTGGCAAAAGCGTTGGTGAAAATTCTTCCAGCTTTCAAGAGATGACTTAAGAGCCTAAACCCTAAGCAATCCTACTTTACTTTGATTGTATGTGATATCAATGTCACTTTCATATGACAATACAGGATGGGGCCCCCAAGATAGCGTTCAGTTGCCTTATAAGTGGCTTAACCATGGTTTATGGTACATATAACTACAGTTAATGGGGTTTATAAACCAACAAACATAACTGGGGGAGCTGAACCCTGTTTTGAGCACAGCATACAACATAGGTCTCATCTTCACCGCGGCGGTCTCCCTAATATTAAAAATATATTAAACACCTCCCAGAAACCATGGTTTAGTAGGGGACCAGCTAGGAGGTGTATTTTCATGATGGAATTACAGTGGAACCTCATATACTCATGGCAGCCAAGTCACAAATCCTCACGGATGGCCACTGGCACTGGCGGCCCATCCAGCAACGGGCACATCTGACAGCCGTCCCCAGTGGTCATCCCATGAATTTCCATGGTTTTACCATGGTTTTTGTTTGGCATTTCCTAATTTCATGGCCGTTATTTTTTTTGGTAATTCACTCGCAGTGTTGTTGGAGGTTTTTGTTCTCATCTTATCTGATTATCTCCTTGTGCTTGGGCTAAAAATAACATGTTCTTCCTCAACTTTCCGAATATACCAAATAGGTTCTAAACTGAAAGTAGAGTACTACAAAATTCCGATGGGTTTTGAATATGTTTGAATGTCATGTCCTGATTAAGAACTTCAATTTCACAAATAAAAACAATCAATGCCATTTCCCTGGAAAAAAAAAAAGTACAATTTCTCAATCAAAAAGTGGTCATTTATTAGGACCTTTATTGGGGAACAAAGTCGGATTCAGAAACTCCACTGGATTCAGAAACTCGGGATTCAGAAACTACTCGTCGGATTCAGAAACTATTTCATTTATTAGGGGTCAATCCTCATTTTCAGACACCCCCCGCAGCGCCGGAGGGTTATGACCCCGTGGCCTCCTGGACTTTGCGGGTGTAGGCATGGAGGGCCTCGCGTAGCGGTAGATTGAAAGTGTTTCTCCAAACTGCTCCATCTAAATCCAATAAAGTGATACAGTGATACAAGATGATACAAGCTTTAAGTACTAGATATCTGGAGACTTACGTTCTCATCACTTCTAGTTCTGTGAAGCTACCTATGTTTTTACCCCTGACACCCCAGGTATCAGTCCACCTCAAACAGACTGAAAGCGAAAGGAGACCGCATCACTTGCACCTGGCCAATTCTAAGCTCTGGGATGACACCCGGGGAATCATTCCAACAGATCTACCAAGTGGGGGGTTCCGACAAGTCATGGGGGTACCCCCGTTCTCCATTTATAGTTAGGATTTTCCATAAACCATCCAGCTTTTTGGGGGTACAGTCTGACTGTGGTTTTCACCCAGGGATGGTCCTGAAATTTCAGACATTTGCCCAGTTTCCAGACCGGTGACACAAATTACCAGTCGTGCTTTTAGACCCACAACGTGGACATCGCAGCGTGCTTTTTACCTAGGCAGATGGGGTCAGGGCTACCCCAAAATGTTTGACTGAAAATGGGCTACCCCAAAATCTGATGCTTCACCCTGGAATTTCCCCTGGAATTGTCACGAACTGTGGGTAAAATATGCGTAAAATGCCACTGTAAGTTGGATAAACCATCTTTTCCTGTTACACGAGCACAACACAAGCACGCAGTCTGGGTCCCCCTTGCCATAGAGAAGCGCAAAAACCGTTCGAAGCCTTTCAACGTCTCCAAAACAAGGTGGCACAGGAATCACATAGATCACACTTGTTTTTACTTGGTTATAAGTTATACTCCTGAATAGTACCATCCAATTTTGGGGTCTATGAATTTGAACCGCACTCCTCTCACTTTCGCCATGTTGATGGCGAACCGTTTTATGGATGCATCTCACCATGCTTCGCGAACATGCTGGCGAAAATGTATGTGCAAGGGTCAAAAGATTCTACAGTAATCTACAGTTAACGGTTTATGGTCATCCATCCCACAATGGGAATCCTGAACATGGGTGTTTAACTCCCTTTTAAACGATTGATGGCCATAATATGGGGGGACTAACCCATGTTTTGACACACATGGAGGATGATTGACTTGTGAAGGCGAAGGTACAGTGTCGCAATCTCGCTTTCACTCAGGATCCACAGCCGGTACCCATGAGATCTGTGTTTGCATTTTTGATCTAAAAACAATGTTATTCAAAAGATGTGTAATCGCAGATAGAGCATTTCAACTCTTGCGGTTCGTAGGGGGGGTTGAAGATCATTTTCTGACTGGTGGCTCACTTTGTTTGCACCCAAATTCTAAAAGATCTTTATATATATATATATTCCCCTGTTCCATTCGCATTTACTGCCCACGAAGATTGCAGCACTTCAGCATCCATCTCTTTTCGGCGGAGTTTGCACCGCACAGCTGTGTGTATTGGAAACCTGCTCTAGGATGAACCTGACAGACCAGTCACGCCCGAAAAAAAGCGGGCAATGCGCTGGTGGAAGTCCAGAAGTTACAAGGAGCATCCACCAGGACAAGTGCGAACTGGATATGAGTGGAGCCGCGACATGGGGCGACATTGCACGTCTTTCCGAATTAGAAGGTTAAGTGGCCCCCCGTATTCCTAAATTGTGGGGTGGCAAGACATGGCGAATGCAGCAGACTCACCTAGGGCTTGCTTCTTCCATCCCTAGCAATCAAAGTTGCCCCAGAAAAATAGTGTCATTTATCACACACTTTTTTGTTGAGTTCGTAACAATAGAAGAATAGAAACAATTCTTTGGCTCTCCCAGCATCTCCTATATACTCTTGTTTTTGTCTGGCACAACGCTGTGTCACACAAGACCTTCAGACTAGTTGTTCATAATGGTTCTGATTTTGGGTATCAAAGAGTTTCATTGCAGTTCATTGCATCTATCCTTCAGTTTCGGAGTGTCCGCAGTTTCTTCCCGAAACCCATGTTTTGAAGATCCCTAAGTTGAGTCCATTTCCTGCGCACCATTCAACAAAGGCGTTTCCGCATCTCCCTTCGCTTTTTGGGAAAACGCAAATAGGACTCAAGGACAGCCAGCTTTGCTGAAACCTCCAAAATGTCCACAGGACATGAATTGGGTCTCCCAAAAAAATGGGGTCTGAGCTCCTCTGGTGAATGCTCATCACCAGCAGTTCCATCGTTCCAAAGAACCCAGCTGAAAAATGCCAACAATTTCTGTTCTTCAGCATGTGTTCCAATTGTTCCAATCGGTTCCTGAAAATGTCCAACAATTTCTGTGCAAATGCTCAGCTGGGCGGGAACGAGACTGCCAAGCGCCTTCCTGAAGCGCCTGAAGCGCCTGAAGCGCCTGAAGCGCCTGAAGCGCCTGAAGCGCCTGAAGCGCCTGAAGCGCCTGAGCGGCACTGGGCGGATACCATCGACCCCTCCCTTGGGTCACCATTCCCGTTATTCAATGTCAATCGCCAGTACAAGTTATAACCAGATGGTATCAGATGGTATCAGATGCTATAAGTAGGATCCAAAATCCAATCGGCTTTGCAGACAAGGTTAGTCCATGATTCGTGGGATGTCATCCGACACACTCTCCAGAAATGCAGCCATAGCACAGCAGCATAGCGATGGCGGCCATTGGCAGGGGCACATGCGAGCCGAATCCTGTCCTTCGCAGTGCCATTTAAATCCTAGGGCCCTAGGACCAGTTGGTTTATAACTAGATTAACTATGGTGTATGGTACTGGAGATATCTCTATAGTAAATGGGGGTTATAAACCTGTAACTGGGGGGCAGTTTACCTTGTAGGGATGGTAGCACACAGATTCCCCCAGTCTTCCGGGCTCCTTCCAAAGCCACGTCAGCGCAAGACCTTTTACGGGTCACAGCACTGCCTCTACGGGACTGCCGTGGGCATGGATGCCATGGCTATCTCATCACCTGTCATTCAAACGACAAGAAAAATGCCCATTGATGTTCAATGATGTTCCATGCTGCTCTATGTTCAAAGGGTGAAACCATACAGATGTTCACAGGCGTCCAAGTTCAAACAGACTTCTTTGGGCAAGTGGCCTAAGTTGGATCCAAACCGTTGCGCCCATTCCTCCGCATCATAGGCTCGAACTCGTTCGTAGATCCAGGGCTTCGAAAGCTTCGGTTTCATCGTCCAACTCCGTTCCACCTCAGCGTCGCTGTCGCTGGCGTCGTTGTCACTGTCGCTGTGCTCCATGGCTCGGGCAATCTGGGAAAGCCGGGCCCGCGGCGGCCCGAGCCTCCCAAGGGGTTTGCCCGGTGTGCCTCCAGTGCTGGCACCAGAACCCATAGTGACAGTGGAACTTAGAGCCCAAAGAGGCTGCGCCAGGTGGCGATGGCCCAGGGTGAAAGTAACTGTGAGAGGCACCTTTCTGTGCAAAATTGTTGAGTACATCACAAAAATCTAGATTCTCGTACTTCAAAATTCTTGGACATATATGACACAGTATGCAAAATCACAAACTCACCGCTGACACCCCCAGAGCTTCATATTCCAACTGGTTGGTCAAACTTCGGAATCGAGGAATGTGTAAATTCCGACCAACTCAGTTAACTTCCGACAAAGATAGCAATGGGAAATCCCGTAAAATCCCCTCAATACATGGGCATTTCCAATGGGGAAAACATCTATAAATGGGGAATGTTCGGAATGTTCCATTGCCATGCCTTACCAAAAAAAAACCTCCGCGATTGGGGCATGCTGCATCCGTCCTTTTCGATCCGAGTCTGGTAGCTATCCAGCAGAGAAAAGCCCCATTTTTTTCAGGCCAAAAAGTGACTCTGCTTTTGGGTTTTTTTGGATCTGGCTTAAAATTCTTTTACTCAGTGACACTACTGATTCATGATGAATTCATGTTTTTTCAATGCGGTTGTTGATGTTGTTGTTTCAACTATCAAATTCCAGCCAGCAGTAGGGAAATCCATCAATGTTGGCCAGATCCGATGAAGTGATCTACTGCCGAAGAAGGAAGGGCATTTTTGTGATTTCCCAACAAATAGAAGACTGTACTCATGTACCCCCTTGACCATTTGAAAGTACTGCCTGCAGGAAACATCGCGGCCCTTGTCCGAAGATCAGAGCGAACTCCATCAGTTGATTCAGTTGTCAATCTCAAAAGCGTGCAACACTCATACATGCTTGCAAATTACAGGTGCCATAACATTCGCGAGAACCTTACCGCAGATGAGATGTTGTCTTAGGGGCACTGGCAGGAACCCATCTTCACTCTTCTCTCACCAACTTAACCACTGAGTCACCATGGCACTCAGCAGCTCACTGTTTCAGATTTAGAAATCAAAAGCATTACGGAGAAGTTGCCAAGTTACCGACACATGCCAACAAACAATAACAAACAACCTTCGCTCTGAAATGTAATCAGAAAGCAACTCAGTACTTCACAAAATTTACTCTTCTTTCATTTGATAGGGTGACGATGTGCAAGTGTGCCAAGCACTGTGTTTGCAGTTGTTCTGTATGCGCGTTGGCCGTGGCACCTCCTGGAGTGTTGCTGGAACCCTCTTCTTGGTTCTCGTTGTGGTTCGGTTGAGTCCGCAGTGAAAGTGCTGCACCAAGAAAGTGCTGCGCAGTGTTGCAAGACCTGTGGCAAAACCAACACCTCTTCGGCAGACCCTGTTCGTTTTCTTAGTCTATGAGGATCCAGACCCCACCCGAATCCGACAACTTGCAGTAACTTGCCCGCGTGTAGAGATCCAGCAGATCCAAGCGATGGCGGTCCCGTGAGATGCTCCGGATCCCATTGGTCGGAAGAGATGTCCGCAACAAAAATATGCCACAACCGGGCACCACTGAACCGGCTAAGAAACTGCGCAGGTTTCAAGATGGGAAAAAAGCAGATGTGGGTGACTGCCTCAGTCGCCATGGATCCCAAATATCCTCATGTTCCGCATTTTTTGGTGTGTCTTTGAAAATAGGATACCCGGAAATTTGAGGGTTGATCATGCTTCATGTTCCCAATCCGCCATTTTGGGAATCTCCCCATCCTTGGACAGACCCAATTGGAGTTTTGTAAAACCAGATAATGGTCAGCCTCTTTGCAGTCGATCATCATGAATACCTTCCAAGAAGAGCTTGTCCTGCTGCAGGGTCATCAAAACCACCTAAGTAGCGAGCCAATGAGCGTTGACGAAGGCTAAAGCAAGTTGAATCCTTAGAAGATCAAATGATTTCAGTATCCACAAAGACCAAAGATCGATATAGGTGGCATCCCTATCTAGGTCTCAAGTCTGTAGTTGGAAATCATCTTCTAGGAATTCTGGCTTTGCAAACTTGAGGATCCCAAACTCCTAGACTGACTTTCTGAATGCAACCAGGCTGTCCTGATGTTTGCCAAGCTCCTGGCCACAAGTCGCAGAGTGAAGAGCCTTAGACCGAGGCTTGGTATGCTGCAAGTGTCCCAAAGTCGCTTTGGGGGTTGGGGCCACACTTGTAACTTCCGGACATGTATCCACTAGAGAATCTGAATGAATCTGAATGAGTCTGAATCTGATGCCATTGACAGCCAAAGCTGAAACACTGATAAAAACCCACGGTTTGTGTCTCAAACGCTGAGAACCGGGCCCTATGAAGCATCCATCAGACTCGAGGTCCTTAGGGGATCCAGGACCCAAAGAAACCGCCCTTGGAATTGGTCAGTTTTACCATCCAGGTCGTTTTGACCTTCTCCTTTGCAAGGTCCTCTTCAACCTGTCTGCCGTCAAGCGAGCATGGTAGTAGTGTAGATTCCCCAGATGGGGCGACGCAAAAAGACTCCCGCATGACTTCAGAACCCCCCGTTGCTACCGTTGCGATGTCCGGGAACGGTCAAAGCCCGACCCGGGTCACCCTGACTCTCTCGATGTCGCTGTCCAAGTGGATCTGCAACTGTGCCTCAGGGATGGCAACTTTGGACTTTGGAAAATCCAAAAATGCCAGAAAATCAGGAAAAACGGCATCTTTTTCTGGAGTTACAGTGTATTAACAAGCAATTCCCCAATTGATGGAGTCATATTCCAAAGAAGTCTTGAAACGAACTATACAGGACCTGAGGTGTTCACCAAACAGCCACCATGACACTATGACACTATGGCTGCCAAGAGACCGAAGAAATCATGACCTGCGGAGCATGGGAGATGGGGAAGCCCTTAGTGGGGAGGCTTCCCAATCTCACATTGGTGAAAATGGAGATTTGTTCAGTTGGATTCTGATGATCCATTTTTTTCCTAGCCATAGGTCTAGGTGAGAGCTGGCACCACAGCATCTATGCTCTCAGGTGAAAAAAACTCTCAGAAAGGCGCTTCACGGTTGAAGGCCCATGTTTTGATCTGTTCGCGGTGTTCCCCATTCTGTATTTCAAACGGTATGTGCTCCTTGTGTCTGAGCCAGCAATCTTTCATGGTTTCATATGTCCACGCTGCTCTTGGGCGTCCCACCCTTCTGTGTTCAACTTGTTGTGGCAGAAGTTTTCTTGTTGCAAGCGTTGCTTGGTGTTGCGGGTGGTCTCTAGGTCTTCTGATGGTATGGCCTGACTGTTTCCTTCGTTTGTCTCTTTAAATGTCACTTAATGGACGGATGATTCCATCTGCGCCTTCACCCATTTCCAAATCTGCGCCAAATCTGCGCCTTCTGATGATCTATGACGATCCCAAATTTATCCCCCAACATATCGAAGGTAAGGGCAATGTGGTTAATAACCACCGCAATATTCACACTCACCAACTGGAATTTTGGGCCCAACTGGAACCCTAGGACTTGAACCTGGAGCGTCGCAACACTATTGGGGAGCGTCCATGTTCTGGCGTTGTCAATTTCGCATGTGAAAATGTCCAGAGATGGTGAATTTACATGAATTTACCGCATTGCATTCCCATTGTCACAGAGAAAACTCATTTCTAAACCGATGAGATGATTCAGTATACATCGAGACAAAGCTGACAAATTCCATGTCATATCCCAGGACCTGTCATGATTAGTTCCATTTTCTGTTTCAATCACCATCTGGTTGGTGGTTTCAACCCTACCCCTCTGAAAAATGATGGACTTCGTCACTTGGGATGATGGCATTCCCAACTGAATGTCATCATAACTAGAGGCTATTTCCAAAAAAAGAATACCACCATGAATTGCTTGGTGAATTCCCTATAAAAATCACCATGAATCAGCATGAAATTCCCATGTTCCAAACCGCTGCCCTGACTTCACCATGGCACCACGGAGTGGGACTTGTTCAGCGACAGCTCGTACAAGGCACCCAGGAGCCGGGGCCAATCCACCCGGTCCTGGACCGATCCAAGATGGTCCCAAGGTGAACCTTACAGAAATTGGGGTTTTCTTTGGGAAAATATGGGAAAATGGAGGTTTACCCTCCGGTAAGCCAACATAGCTATGGAAAAATAGCATTTATAGTTGATTTACCTACTCAACATGGTGGCTTCCTGGGGATTTAAGCATCAAATCCATCAAATCCATCAAATATCATTGGATAGAATGGATACCCTCTGGTAAACATACAAAAAACTATAGAAAATCCCCATTTTGAATAGGTAAATCAACGAACTATACATGGGGTATGTTCAATAGCGAACTGTTAGTCATTACCAGAGGGTATATATCTTTTAGATGGGGGTTTCCGTTTTGTCATGGCACCCCCAGTTCTCCATTTGTTGGGACTGTAAGCATTGTAAACCATCCAGCTATTGGGGTACCATTCATGAAAAACAGCATGTGTATGAGACTCACCAGCAGGTGTTTCACCTTTGCACAGCTCATTCAGAAAAGGGTGAAATGATTGTGGTCCAGTGCCGAAGTCCTCGGTAAAGGCGCAATCGAGCCCCAGGTCGGCCTGGTGACAGCTTGAGGTAGCAACAGATGTTGAAACTTCGAAGCTGTTTTGGGAATATCTATAGTGTAACATATATTTAGATAGGAATCAACATCTATAGTAGTTAGACTTGGAATATCCATGAGATCATATCTCACTGATTTTAGGAGTATCCTTTTTTTGGCTTCACAGGCACCTCCATCTCAATGGATGGCGTACAAATACATGTGTTACCAGAATAATTATTGGTGATGGCTGTCCCACAACTAAACATCACCCACTATGGGGATCATGGAAAACATTTTTGGGTATCCCACTCGCAGCAGTGATTCTAAGCTGGCTGGTTGCACTTTTTTGCAGAAATTAGCATTTCTGGACAAAAATGGCAGTGCTTTCTCGAAAACTGCGTCAATTTGAAGCCTGTTTCAAGGACGACTTGTGGCTCTTACTTTTGGGAGGCAAAGGACCTTTGGATCCACTAAATTATTGAAAGAACCATATCTTCCAGGGGAACAAAGCGAGAAAACTAGTTACTAACCAGTGATATACGCTGATGATGAGGCCAGGGGCTTCCCCTGTCGCTTGGTTACACCACCCCATCTCAGCCCACGGTTCGCCACAGCCTCTGCCACATCCCTGGCGAACGCGTCTGGCCCAGGCCTGAAGATCCAGGCAATTGCGACCTTGGCAGGCCAAACAGGCACCAGTTGAGAACCTCAAATCCAGTTGAGCTGTCGAATATTTTGGCAAATACCAGTGATGGTAACCAAGTAAAAATACGTATTTTACCGGCTGTGGAGATATACAAACCCAAGGTTGGAACAATGAATGCAGAAACTATTGTGTTTGGGGGAAGGGTGCACCAAGACTTTTGCTGGATTCTGTGGAACTTGTGTCGATTGAAGAACGCAATCCATCAGGATGCTGGCGGTCTGACATTCCTGGGATGATACAACTGAAGTGGTCCTCAAACAGCGACAGTACAACCTGGTCTTGCCTTTCGTCTCAGAATTTGAACAAATTCCTAGCCATGGCTCCCCTCGGCCACCCTCGCAGCATTTTACCACAGGGTGGTCTATGTGCTACGGCGATCGTTGGCGCCGATTTTTTGGGGGCCCTTTGAAATGGGCCTTTACAAGGCGTCCAATGGCAGAAAGTTCATGGTTCCATCCTCATATTGAACCAAACCTTGAAGAGCCATTCATATTATGCATGTGCAGTGCATAAGGTGTGGATCCTGGGAACTCAACGTAATTTTCATAGAAACTAAAAATCGAAGTGAAGATCCACAGCTCTCCAGACCCAGAATCAAGCACAAAATTCGAACCAAAGTTGTCCAAAATCAAAAAGAAACTGTCCAAGAATTGGGAAAGCACACTTCTCCAAATCTGATTTGCATATGCTCCAGTTTTTCTCTATGTATTCCAATTCGTGGCTGTTACAGGCACTGGGTGGCAAGATAACTCTGCCATCAGACGCCCTTCAAACATAGTCTCAGTGCCCAGTCGACCCGGTCGGGCCGGCCACCACACGGGCCACCAGCACGGTGATGTCATCCGGTTTGCCGCCTCCGGTGACAGCGTGACAGCTGGGATCCCTTGATGAATTCCCTTCCTGTCGATCTTTTCTAGGCCATGTGGTGGTGAAAACTATACATGCCTAGTTTCGCAAAGTTGGCCCACACTTGAAATCTTGAAGAGGTCTGAAGTATGAATGACCTGGGAAAACGATTAACCTTTTTCTAGGGGGACTCGATTGCGCAATTCCTGGTGGAAGTACGGTTTCAATGAACGCATTGCAAAGTTTGGTTCCATTGCTGCGAGGTTATTGGAGCACCACTCATTCTCCGACCCGAGTTCCCAATCTTCAATTCCGTTCATCTGTAACCCTCCAACTAATCCAATCGATATAATCCCATCCAATCTCCAAGTTCCCGTAACAGCAAGCGGCCTCTGTGTCGAAAGCCTTGGCTGTTGCTGCCAACAGCACCCCATATCGCCACCGGACTTACCCACTTCATGAGGAAATCCAGAGTGTCCCAAACTTCGCAAGAAAGATCCAGTCACCATGGAGAATTCCAAACTCAAAGTTTCCACTTCAAAATATCCGGCAGATTCTTCCAGCAAATTCCACCCATTCCCAGCACTCCTCTCGTCCAAGGCGCCATGGGAGGCGGCCGCTGTACCGAAGGGGCTCTCCTCCAATGACTTCGAGGCCTGGTACGCCAGCTGTACCAGCTGCGCGGCGATCTCCGACACCGGCAATGTGGCCATTTGGCTGATCACCTCCACCGCCTTGTCTTTGAAAACCTGGGAATGTCTCTGAAGGGATGGGTCCCATTCCTTTTTTTAATGAAAACTTTTGGGTGGTCCCACAGAAAAAACGATGATGATGATGATGATGACGATGATGATGATGATTGTGATGATTTTTCTAAGATGTTGCATGCCGCGGCAGCGACTCTGCAGCATCATTGTCCATTCCTTAATCGTATCGTGCTCTCAGGGGGAGCGCTCCAACCCTTGCCATGTGATGGAGAATCGTCACATCCTCCACATTCAAGATCCAACTGTTGCCCCAGCGAAAAATTTGCCGTGGCCATCCAAGTCGTTTTTGCACTTCATCTGAAGGTACTTCAGGGCGGCCTTCAGAAAAGGCCACACATTCCCAGCAAGCATGATATCAAGTGGGTATCACAGCGGTATTGCAGTGCACGCAATGGTGATCAATAACTTCCCTTTTCATTGCCCGGAAGCAGGCATCAGACACAGCAGCACCTGTCAAGACAGCACGTGAATGGACACAACTTTGACGGTACGCCTTTCTTACTGCAAATGCCAGCTTTCCCGAACACAGCGCATGTGTTCTGCAAAACGATCTGCAACCCTCAGTCATGTCCAGAAATCCACAAAAATCATTCTGTAAGGACCGGTTGTCCTCACACACCCGGCTGAGCCAGGTGTCAGGCCTTCGTCTGTGACAATATTGAGTGTGCACAACCATATGCATGTTCGACACAGCATCCATATCTGCCTTAGCAGCAACCTGAACGGTGTGACTCCGCAACAACTTCAAGAAATCAGGCGATCCCGGCGACTTGTACACCCCCAACGTTTTGCTGATTTGCATTTGAAGCGCATGAAACATGTCCTTGGGCACCTGCCACCAAGACCCCCACGTGGTCTTGGGAACCACAAGCATGGAAATGAGGTCTGTTGTGTGTCTGTAGGAAACAGGAGCATCCGCAACCCTCTGCAGGCGAGCTTTAGCTATGTGCAGTTGAAGAAAAATCTAAACTAACCAAGCACCCGCATGGAGTCTTTGAACCATCCCCTTTGAGCACCAACTTGAACCATGCTACGTTCAACTGCTGCTGCATCTGCAACCACGGCTGACATCTTCGAGACAAAGGAACCAACGGCCGGGCACCGCTCCGTGAGCTTGATCAGGCAACCAGGACAACATCCAAGACTCTTTGCGTCCACGCACTCGCAACAACCCTCCACAGAATGCTTTCCTCCACCACCACCCGTCGGACCTGGGCGAGATCACATGCAAGGCTTTGGAAGATGGATTCATCTCACGCCATGCACGAGGGAAAACTCCTCGCTCAAACCAACTTTGAGGAAATTGGGCATATAGAGTTTCCAAGCTTTCAATGGCCAATGACATATTTCATCACCGCTCCAGCCATCGGGGCCGGCGGCCGAATGTCTGAGAGCACGTGCACGTTTGAGAAGTTCCTCTGCACGCAAACGTTTCCAGGGCAGCTCTTGCGCGTTACTAACACCACGGCCCCACACTTCCGTGGCGCTGCACATCAAATGGCTCCCGTCTCCAGATTTGGCGCCAAAACCCGCGCACTAGCTTGAAGGCAGGCGTGGGGTAGCGGCATGTTCACCGGTCTCTGCATCAAACAACCTGGTGCCCCTCGGACTCAAGCACGACAAAAGGCCTGATCTTTGTTCATTTTGCCTTTCCAGGCCTGAAGTCTGTCTTTGCGATCAGCGCTATTATATTCTGCAACTTCCTTTTCAAGCATCTTAGCAGCAACCGGCAAGGTTACATCTCGAAGGTGCGGTCTGCGACCCCACACTTTCAGCAGCAGCATCAGCAGCAGCAGGAGCAGCAGCAGCAGCAACAACAACACCAACACCAACACCAACAACAACACCAACACCAACACCAACACCAACACCAACAACAACAACAACAACAACAACAACAACAACACCAACACCAACACCAACACCAACAACAACAACAACACAACAACAACAACAACAACAACAACAACAACAACAACAACAACAACAACAACAACAACAACAAACAACAACAACAACAACAACAAACAACAACAACAACAACAACAACAACAACAACAACAACAACAACAACAACAACAACAACAACAACAACAACAACAACAACAACAACAACAACAACAGCACCAGCAGCAGCAGCAGCAGCAGCAGCAGCAGTCGTTGGCCGGCACAAGGACTGCATAGAGCCTACCCAAGTCTCTCCGCAGCTGGCGGGGAACAAAGGGCTGTTTGGTTCTGGGGGAATAAAGCACAGGCATCATGGTCTGTTGAGCGCCTTTGGGCGCCCTCTCAAGAAGGCATAACTTCACCGTCACATTGCAACCACTTGCGCGCCTTGCTGCGCATCTGCCGCCATCTCCCAAAAAAAAACCATGCAGTTTCAGGTGAAGAAACCTCCAAGGCGGTGGGCATGGCTTCCCACGCTAACACCAATGCATTTCTCCAGTCACTCTCGGCAGTGCCAGGCGGCAGTTCAAGGTTAGGTGTACGAGCAAATGCAAATCGCTCGTCCCATTTCACGTCGTCACCACCATTCAGTTTGAAGTGCACCGCCTGGTGATCAGACCAGGCATGTTCGTCCAGAGCAGTTTCGGCCACAATGTATGAGGTGAGGGCATAATCCAAGCATCTGCGGCCCGACCAGCGCGTCCGGAGGCACTGGCCTACACTGTCACAAGCCGCAAGCACATTGACATGGGCAGCATGCAATGCAAGAAGATTCTCAGATGGGATGCCATTCCAATCTCCCATGGCCAGCCAGTGCTGAACCTGGAAACTTCGCACCACATCACAGCATTCTGCAGTGGTGCAAGGGCGGTACACCCCGAGGATCTGGCACTGTGCAGCCACACCGCCTGACCTGTCCCTTGGGCCGGCGTTGGGCCGTCCGGAAGCGACACGTGCATGGTATTTTGTGCTTGTGGGCAAATTGCAAAGGCACCTACCCGGTCGCTCGGCATGTTAGCCTCCTGGAAAGCTAAGACATCGATCCTTTCGCCAAAATAATGAGCTGCCGCTTGCCATGACTTGGCGTGACCAGGTTTTATTCCGCATCTTCGCCCGCGGTCAAATCGCAGATCCAAGCTTGCTCATCCAGCTCCAAGTATTCTTCCCATGTCTCGGAGGTCTTCTCTCCTGTTGAGTTAACCTTACCTTGGTTAATCCACATGCTCTCAAATTCCTTGGTGAACTTTTGCATATAGGCATGGACGAATGCGAACTTGCCTATGCGTTCTTTGCTTGTCAGGCCTCTTGGCCAGCGCACCAGCAAGCGAGCGCCACAGGCAATTTCCTTTCCCAGTGTTGGGGACCACTGCGGCCTGTTTGGGTCACCACGGCTCAACTTTGGCCTTCTTGGTTTCAGGCGGCGCTTGTTTTGACGAAGAACTGGGTTGTTCAGCTTGGGGTCGTTTTGCTCCCACTTCAGCTAACTTATCAACGTTCATGGCCTTTGCAGTCTGTATTGCTAGGACTATTCTTGGCGACACTCTGCACAGCATTGGGCTGGCGGTTAAACTGAACGCGGTTTTCACGGAGGAGTGGAGTTGCTGCAAACTTCGGCCTCCGTGCAGCTTCTTGAATTGCCACCACCTCTCTTGCGTCATCATCTCCAAGTTTCACATCTGTCTGCACAATAAACGTCTCATCTCCTCTCTTAGCTTCGAAAAACCAGGCATTTCCCGTTCTCTGCCGTCCTCTACCAGTGTTTGAGCATCCGTGAAGCCCATCGCAGTGAGAATCTCCTGAACATGGGTATGTGCGAGGTGCACGCGCAGACCCTGCAGTCGCCACTTGCGGACGGTGGGTTGCAGACGGGTATCATCGCTCTTCACTCTAAGGGCCAGCTGGTAATCTTTTAAGGTCCCAAAAAAAATTGGGTGGAAACTGCAGATGGTCCCCCCAAATTGAAAGCCAAGTGTCCGGAAAGGTATATAATATTACGGCCAGGCGCCTTGTGTTGCCCGGAAATTTACAGGGACGTTCCCGGCATGTTGATGATGATGATGATGATGATGATTGAAGATCTTCAATGAATGTAAGAGGTTAACGGAGTTGGGAGAATTAAACCCTTATTGAAGATCTTCAATGAATGTAAGAGTTTAACGGGGGTGGGAGAATTAAACCCTTATTGAAGATCTTCAATGAATGGAAGAGTTTAACGGGGGTGGGAGAATTAAACCCTTATTGAAAATCTTCAATGAATGTAAGAGTTTAACGGGGGTGGGAGAATTAAACCCTTATTGAAGATCTTCAATGAATGGAAGAGTTTAACGGGGGTGGGAGAATTAAACCCTTTTTGAAGATCTTCAATGAATGGAAGAGTTTAACGGGGGTGGGAGAATTAAACCCTTATTGAAGATCTTCAATGAATGTAAGAGTTTAACGGGGGTGGGAGAATTAAACCCTTATTGAAGATCTTCAATGAATGTAAGAGTTTAAAGGGGGTGGGAGAATTAAAAACCCTTATTGAAGATCTTCAATGAATGTAAGAGTTTAATGGGGGTGGGAGAATTCAACCCTTATTGAAGATCTTCAATGAATGGAAGAGCTTAACGGGGGTGGGAGAATTTATATGAGATGTATAGTGTGAACAAAAAAACCCTTGTAATTTACGCTATTCTGGGCTTGGGCAACACAAGGTGCCTGTGGGTAATATTATATAATGATCAACCACTTTCGATTTTAGCCGATTCTAAGGCAAACCAAAATGGGTATGGATCAAGTCACTGGGGCACCAATGAGCACATGGCTTGTTATTTTAAGTCCTAAGCCATCCTTTTCTTGGGGTGAGAATTTTGATCCATATCCAAATCATTACCCACCACCCAAATCTACCAATTGACCACTGGTCTTCGGATGCTCCAAAGTTGTGTTTTCGGCCTGGAGCAACTAGCAATGATATTTTTGTACATGTATAGATGGAAAAAATCTGTTTGTGTCCCCTTTCTCTTTGCGGAGACCAATCCCCAATCCCAGCCGGGAAGCATTGTCAAAGAATCCGTCGGTGGCAAACACTAAGATGTCACCTATCCGCACCTGGCCGGCCCGCTGCAGGGGCCTTGGCAAGTCCTCACATCTAGTGAAATTTGCAGCGCATCTCGGTACTGGATATGAAAAATGGATCCTGTTTGGCTTCTAGTTTCAACCCCCATTTTTCTGGAATCCATTCCCATATGTTTCCCTGTTTTGGTGGTTAAAACTCATGAAAAGAAATGAAAATTCCCTAGACGATGCTGAACCCCTTGCTGTGCCTGCGTGGTGTAGGTATCACTCGAGGCCGGAAGGTCGCCGCCCGCCAGGCCCGTACGCTGCGACACCGGGAGGCAAACCAACTGGTAGGGACAGTTGAAATAATGCTGTTGCTCCTGGCAGATGAATAGATTGGTTGAAGGGAAAATTTACAGGAAACCTCCATATTTCGTCGGAAAAAAAAACAAACATTATATTTCCTGTAGATTGGGAAAATCTTCACCGGAAACCATTGTTTTTACCATCAATTTGATCGAGGGTTCCGGTTTCAATCTTCCCTTTAAACCGGAAATATCCCTCGAAAGTCACCTCTTAAAATTGAGCTTGCAGCAGCGAAGATCGGATATATAAACCATATGACAGTTGGTTAAAACCACCAGTTGATGCGAAAAAATTGGCAGCGATGATCAGAAGATATGGAGAATATACTGAAAAATGGAAGGTAAACGCATGTGAATAAATCCCTTGTTAGTGGTTTGTCTGGTGGTTTATCACATGTTTCGTGGAAAAATGAACGGAAAATATGTGGGAAAATATGTATGGGAAAATAATTGAGAAATGATGACGGATGCAACCTCTAAAAATCGGAGTTTGACCAACCAAAATGGAATATATAATGAAACATGGGAGGTGAGCCCACTGATATCTCCCATGTGTGCTGGCTAATGGTTCTTAAATCAAAATGTACCATGCAACCAACGGGTTAACCATCATCAACAATTGCATATACCTGGATAAATTGCAATTTTTTGCACCCTTAAATATGCTATATAGGGATGTGGCCATGAGGCATAATTCCCTTCACCAATTCATATTGAATACCCAAAATAAATCGGTTGAGTATCGGATCTTTTCATTTTGGGGATAAAGGGATTAAAATTTTGGGATGGGATTGTATGGCATCAACTGACTCGGGGTTGCCATCATGTCACATCAACTTGCCAAATGGCAACCATATCGCGCCTTGGTCTCTAAGATCACTTTCCTTGGATCTGGGGGAAAATGCAAGGAATTTGGCGTTCGGAACAGCTGAATTGGCAAGAATTGGTCGTCTTAATCAATACATACTTCATGTGGAGCAGATACAGCCGTGCAATTTAGGGAGAACACTGGGTTTCAATTCTAATGGAGTAAATTTGCAATGTCCTGTATTTGTGGACATTCGACGCAATCCCTTTCCCGTAATATCACCCATGGCCGCCATGGCCCTCCTTTCAGTTGGATCGCTCTGGCTGGTGAAGGCTCTATCTTTCTTAAATCCCGCATGTTGGTTGGTTGAAACCGCTCTTGTGCTTTTAGAAAAAAACAAATATATACCACATATAACTGTATATAGCTATATACTATATATATATACTATATATATACTATATATATATACTATATATATATACTATACATATATATATATAAACCATATATAATCTACATACTATTTGATGACCCGCCAAGAAACCCATCCCGTTGCACCACCAACGCTCCGCTGTCGCCGAGATTGGCCACGTCAAGGACGCCCTTGTCGCAGTGCAGCGATGCCACGCAGGCCGTGGTACTTCCTACGGCCGTGGGGCCCCGGCGGCCGAAAAAAAAGGGGCAGCGGGATCATCCGAAGAGATCTAGTGACAATAATATATGATATATATGATATATATGATATATATGATATATATGATATATATGATATATATATATATATATCATACAATGTGGGGCCCCCTAGATAGCTAAGTTATCTAAGTTGGTGAACATAACTCCAATAGCTATGCTTTATGGTACTTATAACTATAGTTATTGGGGCTTTTAAACCAACTTATAACTAGGGGGCCCACATTGTATGATATATATGGATGACCTGGATCATACATAAAAATGAATAAGAAAAAAGGACAATAACGATGACAATGAGGATGAGGATGAGGAAGATGGTGATGGTGGTGATGATGATGAGGATGGTATGGAAAATATGCAAAATATGTCTGATGATGGATGGTGGAGGTCACTAATCCCACCTGGTGGTTTTCACCCGAAAGCGATGCTAAACTCACCATGTCCCGCGACGACTGAAGAGTCCCATATTCCCAAAATCCAGCATAATCGCATCATGTTTCATTCTAACAATTTCTGACCCATATAACTTCTGAATATCAGAATGTTGCAAAAAAAACATGGGACCCAACTCCCCCAATTTTCCCTCCGTTCGACCCAACCACCGTTTTTTTGATGTGCATCCCATACGTCCAAGCCGTCCAAGCATCCCATCAAGGTCCCGTCTTGAGACACAGCTGCTTCGAAGCCAGCAGTCATCAACTCCACCACCTGCCAGATGGACCCAGCTTCAACTCGCTTGCGGTGAAGTGGAAAAACTCACTATAAATGGCCATGTTCAATAGCTATGTTAGTTTACCAGAGGGTACCCTGGGGAAACGTGTCAACATCTACATAGATGTGAAAGATCCCATGAATTTTCATGGGCTTTCCACATCGAACTGGTAGTTTACAGGAGGGTAAATCAATGTAAATCGTCGAACTCAATGGGCCATGGCTTCCATGTGAAATTACTAGAGTGTGTCTTCTCAGGAATGGGATGGAATAGACGGTGATCTTTTTTCAAAAATCAAGGGGAAATAAAGGATATGATCAGAAATCAAAATGGATGGAAATAGTTCCTTCCCTACTATTTTAAAAAGCCTTTCTTTCCGTCTAAATATTTTGGACCTCGGAAGGCTGACAGACTTGGAGGTTTGCAGTGTTCAGACATACCGTCACAATACTTGTGAGTGCAAACGTTTCTCACTTTCGGCAGGCATCTAGAACGTTGAAACATTTCAACGACAATGTCCATGCAAAAGTCCGATCTTTGATGCCCCGTAGATTCCCGCACTTTCGGAGTCTCCAAAAGCAATGAAAAACCTTGTCTGTTAGTCTGTTTTCCATAGTTTTCCAACATCCCAACCTCCAACTTCCCAGCATGTTTGACGGCTGCTTCCTCACATCTCACCATCAGTTCCCAGGCAAAAAGCGCAGGATTCACCCCATAGCGTTGCCAACTGCTGACACCATCCGCCACACCAATGGCGATGTGGTCCTATGGATGTCGACCGAAGGATAGGCGCAAAAACAAAGGGACCTCACAGTGATCCCTGGGATGTCCAAACGGGAAATCATGACACATCCAATATTTAATGGCTTGGGATATCCAATCGGATGACCTTATCCCTATCCCTATCCTACTGCCAGTCAACGTTGACCCGTTGACCCGGCGCTCCAACCTTCAAACTCGTCAAGAAGAAGGCATCGTCACCACAATCGTGTCTCCTTACACCAAGGGATGGTACGATGAAGGTGAAACAAAAAAGTCGGCAAGGTCTGAGAATATCAACCCGATAGTGGAACCATCTCCAAAACCTGGTGATACCGAAGTTGTTTTGCGGTGCTTCTGGTTTTCTGGAGGGACCATCTTTTCAGACCCGTCCCAGGTGCCACTCCCGTCAGTTCCTTTCTTATTTTTAAATTGGATTTGAAGTTGAAGAAACTGAATTGGTATGATTCAAAGTTGGCTATCCTATCAAATGTTTCCTTGGTTGGAAACCACGTTTCCAATCTGGGGGCAACCCAGACAGGGTGGCCAGCCTATGTCTTGGACATGTCAAGTGGAAACCTCCCCTTGCCTAACGGGATACCGGGATACCCTCAACATGGCAACTGGTTTTGGGGTGGTTTTCCCATCAAAAATCTTTGGACAAACATCCAGCCGTCCATGTTCAGTGAAGATATCTGAAAAACAAGCATCAAAACAAACATCAAAACTATGGGATTTCAATCTATGGTATCTGAAAAACATTTGATATATCAAAACCCATGGGATTTTGGAGCTTCAAACACCATGACCACCAGGACAGGGCTCACTGGAGGCTGTGGCTTCCGTGGTAAGCTCTTGGACACGCAGCGCGCAGCCGACTCCACGGTGAAGCGGCGACGGCCCGGCCCAGCTGGCCAATCTTGGCCTGGTGCTCACAGTTGGGGATTATCTATCGGAATAATGATCTAATAAACCGTGCATATCAGTGTATAATGTATGTATATATATATGTATATATACACAATGTATATAACTAGAACTAGAACTATAAGTATAAGTGTAAGTATAACTGTAACTCTAACTATCAGTAGGACTATAAGTGTAACTAAGTGTAACTATAACTACTTGAGGCCGGAGGTGGATGACGAAAGCTAGCGGGGTAGGAGAAAGAAGGAAGGGAAGACGTATCTTCAATGCGAGCGGGATGATGATGAGGAGGAGGATGATCAGGATGAGGAAAAGAACATGATGATGCTGATGCCGATGGTGATGATGATGACGATGATGAAGATGATGATGATGATGGTGATGATGACGATGATGATGATGCTGATGATGATGCTCATGATGATGATGATGATGATGATGATGGTGATGATGATGATGATGATACTGATGATGATGATGAAGATGAAGATGATGATGATGATGATGATGACGATGACGATGACGATGATGATGATGATGATGATGACGATGATGATGATGATGATGATGATGATGATGATGAGGCTGCGGCAGCTGATCGGGATGATGATGAGGACGAGGGTGCTAAGGATGTGGAGATGATGATGATGATGATGGTGATGATGATGATGATGATGGTGATGATGATGATGATGATGATGCTGATGCTGATGATGATGATGATGATGGTGATGGTGGTGGGGTGTGGGGTGGGGTGGGGTGGGGGGGGGGGCCCTTTCACGTGAAAAATCACGTGATGTCCTTGAGCAGCCCCCTGAATACTTGCTAAAGCAAGAAGACTCCAGCTAGCTGACGCTAGCTTTCGTGACAACAGCCTCAGCTATATACCCAATATTCTCATTGGGTCTAAGAGTCGTGATCCGACTTTGTAAATGGACATGTGGAAGGCAGCCTGTTTCACCAAGTAGACCAATATATAGACATAGACTAAATCAGTCGCCAATTCTGGAATCAGCCAACAATGGGATCATTGGGATGAAAACACAAATAATTCGCCAATTGACGGTATTGACCTAAACTATCAATATTGATGACTATCTTTTTTCTCTCATATCAGCCAATGATTGTTGCCACTCATATCAGCCAACTAATTTCCTTTATTGCTACCAAAAATTCGCCAATAGAAATCACCACATGGCCCATGTACCGAATCAGCCACCAGCTGCACCAGCTGCAGGCGCGCCTTCCATCTTGACCTCGCAGCCGATGCCTTTGGGCGTCACGGACAGCGCACCGGCCATGGCCACGGCCGGGAGGCGCCATGGCACGCGACGCATGGCGATGCCGCCAGCGTTTGGGGTTGAAATGAGGGAAACCAGGGTGTTTGATCCGTAGTCATTTAATGTCATTTAATGGTTGCTTAGAATCCATCTTTTCAAGAATTTTGGCTGCAACTGAATTCTTGTCGAAGAAATTGTTGGGTGTGCGGGTCGAGGTTCTGCGCTTAGATGATCCTGCTTAGTACTTTCTGAGCAAAGTTATATCATTTGGGACTAGCAGAGAAGCCCCGGTTGGGGACTTGTTATCCAGGCTTCTTTGCCAGTGGGATCCATCATGCGGATACGCCAAGAACACGCCCCGAGCCACGCTGCTTTTGGACCAAGCCGTTTTCGGGTTTTTGGACCGCCATCAGCTGGAGCATTTCATCAGCCACAAGAAAATACCGAAGGTTTCTTAAAATTGGGGTTCCCCAAGTCGCCACGAATTTCAATACGAAGTCATGGTCATCCATGACGATTGGATGATTTGGGGTACTATCGGAAACCTGCCTCCCATCCGTTGTAGCTCTGAGCTCCAAAACTCCGAGGAAATTCCACATCGGTCACATGTCGCGCCATGGGGCCACTGCCCAAGGATGATGGAAAATGATGGATCCATTTGCCCCCAAAAAAATGTGCAAAATTGCAGTTTTTTGGGGATTGTGGAGTTGTTTGCGACTGTTGAAGTCCGAATGACGGATCCATGGTCAAAACAAACATGTGTGCAAAATTAAAATGACCCAACCAATCATGATGAAAACGGCAGGGTCAAAAAGTTGAACAATCCATGGCCTTTTTGATACATGACCTCCAAAGAAGTCTCTAGAATCCATCAAAAGACGGCACACTCATCATGTGATGGTATTGTGATGTCAACTGTGGCCGCAACTTTCTTTCTGTGTCACCAGGCTGTATGATGAAATTTCTAAAAAAAATTGGGTTTGGGATTTGAATCAGGTTCAAACCCTTGAGCATAAAAAAACCACCAAGTCGCAAAATTGGTGCATGGGCCACATACTGCTAGAGAATGCAGCAGGTTAAACGACAAAGATGTTTTATCACATCGGTTTGCATACGGTTCACCTGATCAAAAAACCATAGTTTGTTCACATTTTTGGTAATCTGATTGTGTTTATCGGCGAGCTGAATCAGCCTGTGACCCAAAACGTCGACCCAGCGCAATATTTCCATGTATGTTTCCACTTTGCTCCCTGACACAACCAACGACAACAACAACAACAACCACAACAACAACCACAATAACGACGACGACGACGACGACCACCACCACAACAACAACAACAACAACCACGACGACGACGACGACGACGACGACCACAACACCAACAACGCAAACACCGCCAACACCGCCAACACCACCATCACCACCACCACCACCATCACCACCACCACCACCATCACCACCACCACCAGCAGCAACAACAACAACAAACAACAACCACAACAACAACAACAACATGTTTGCCAACAACCAAACCCCGCACCCGTAAATTCGGTTCCATGGTGGCATTACACAAGTGCTAGGTTCAAAATGTTCAAAAATGCGGAAAATACGTCAGTTTTCACAGCCCAAATGGTTTGCTCCTCCCCCATCTGCGACGCAACTGCAAACAAACAAACATGTTTTTTGGCGCGTCATCGGGTTCATGCGGCCATCGTTGACTCAGCAGTGCAAGACATTGGTGCGACTTGCCTTCTCTGAGTTTGCTTGCATATATGGATGCTGGTCATCCAGTGAGACTTAGAATTCATCTCCTTGCACAATGCGCTGATGGCACCCATCCCCAATTCTTTTTCCATAGATTGCCTAATGATTTCCAAAAAATATATCGTGGGAAAAAGTAAAACCCAATTCAAGCGAACCAAGTCTCCGTAACCCTCTTCTTCACCTTCGCCCTCGGCCAAACAACCCAAAACAGAAAGGAACGTATGCATGGAATCAAAACCAACTTGTCAAAACCCGGAAATGAACCGACATGAACTAGACTGGAACACAATCGAACCAATCAGTCCATCTTGAAAATTTTGATGCCAAAGCTTGCCCCAACCCAAAACCATGTGTTTGAGGTGTCGAACTGCTGGTGATTCTGAAACCGGCTGCACAATGTGGGGGAAGAAAACGAACAACCCAAAAACATTACCCAATCCAGGCACCTCGGCAGTTTCAATGCCGACCTCCTCGTAATCCTTCCTTCCGTGTCAGCTGGAGATTGGTTGACAGACGTTGACAGGGAACATGCCAGGGGGTCTATCAGAAACAAAGTGGTCAAATCAGCAACACCAATGTCATCAACAATGCAATCAACGATATCCATCAATGACCCTTTAACGTCGGTGCCATCGCCCGTTTCACCATCAATGGCAATACCAATGTCAACATCGAATGGCGTCATCAATGCCATCAGCTATGCCATCATCACGACTTTCATCACCAGTGTCACAAGTGGTTGCATCACCCATGTACAACATCAATGCCATCATTGAGAGCGCCACTGCAATCACCCACCGTCATCAATGACAAAAAACAAAAATCACCACCACCGCCACCACAACAACAACAACAACCACAACAACAACAACAACCACAACAACAACAACAACAACAACCACAACCACAACCACAACCACAACAGCAACCACAACAACAACAACAACAACCACAACCACAACCACAACCACAACAACCACAACATCCAACACAACCACCACAACCACCACAACCACCACAACAACAACAACAACCACAACAACAACCACAACAACAACAACAACCACAACAACAACAACACAACAACAACAACACAACAACAACAACAACAACAACAACAACAACAATCACAACACAACAACCACAACAACCACCACAACAACCGCAAACAACCAACCAACAACAACAACAACAACAACAACAACAACCACAACAACCACAACAACCACAACAACCACAACAACCACAACAACCACAACAACCACAACAACCACAACCACAACCACAACCACAACCACAACAACCACAACAACCACAACAAACACAACAACCACAACAACCACAACAACCACAACAACCACAACAACCACAACAACCACAACAACCACAACAACCACAACAACCACAACAACCACAACAACCACAACAACCACGGCCACGGCCAAGGCCAAGGCCAAGGCCACGGCCACGGCCACGACCACGACCACGACCACAACCACAACCCACACCCATGAAATGAATGCCAAGCATCTCCAAGGCCGCCAAATCCTCGCGGGCTTCGGAGAACTCACCCTCTTCCATGCCCTCACCAACATAGTGATGCACAAAAGCACGCTTGGAGTACCTTGGCGATGACTGTTTGATACATGAAACTGGATCTGAAGGCTCGTAAGGCTAGTCTTCGTCTGATATGTGACACTAGCGTGCTGATTAGCAAGAAAAACATTTTATTGGTATGATTTGGAAACACTTGTCTGCAACACTTCTTTGTCACTTCCAAACCGCTGGAAAATTACAAAAGTTCGGGACGTAAAAAAAATGTTTTTCCAGTCTTGGAACAGCTTTGTTCCAGCTGTCCTGCTGGAACAACATCACTGAAACAAAGAAGCACAAAAAAGAGACCGAATGTTCAGTTACAAGAGTGGTAAGTTTCAAGGTTCACCAGCGATTGTTGAAACAGCCCGTCTTTTGAAAGGGACTCAGCAGACCCCGGAGGCAAAACCTTTATTCTGGCCGCAACAAAGAGTTGCCCATCCTCCTTTTGCCACCCTATCAGATCCACTTGATATCTCTATAGCTTACGATCGTTTCGTTCACTTCTTAACGCAGAACTATCTTCATATATATATATATACACATACATGTGTATTCCAAGACATCAGGAAAAAGGCACAGAGGAGGGCCTGCAGGCGAACGGCTGGTGTGCAGATTGGTGGGGGGGCTGCGATTTTCAGCAAGTTTTTCCACCAACTATACCTGCCTTCCACAAGCTCCTTAGCAGCTCTTCCCGCAAACAGCCAGCCAGTCATTGTTTTTTCGGAAAGAATATGAGGTTGTGGTGGGACATTGCCTGGCACTGTGAAGACGTCATTCGCTTGTCCAAAAAGTCAGGCTGCTGTTCTGGGTCGGCATTTTTCTCTGAAGCACAGTGCGCGACGGCTCTCCAAGTTTCTCTAATGTTTGACAGCACTGCTCAAGCGTTGAAAAAAATATGTTTGTTGTTTTTCTTTTCAAGAGCTGCGGGTGTCTGAGGAAGGTGTGGCAGCGCATTGCCTCTGCAACTGTTCCTTTCAGGTTTTGTATGGTCCAGTGCCTTCCATGTAAGCTTCTTCTGTAATGTTGGGAAGCTGATGCCACAGTTATGTGCGAGCCGGTCCTGTCTAGAACAGGCTACAATAACTAATCCACGCACGTGTCCGCACCAGTTCCGGAGCAACCGACTCAAAACTCCCACAAGAAGCCTGGAACGTAGAAAGCCTTCCTAAGTAGGACAAGTCAGGCAATTGTTTTTCAACCTCGCCAAGTCGGCCAGCCACGAAATATCGCCACACATCTCATCAGCAGCTTTGCGAAGTTCAACGGGGTACTGCTCGGAAATTTAGTTCGAAAATTTCCTGGTTACGGACGGTTGTCATGGCTAGCATTCCCACCATCATGTCAACCACATCCTCATGTCAACCACCAATCATCAAGCAGTTGGGAAGTGTAGCAGCTCGGAGGCGTGTGAATTCACCAGTGAAATTTTCGGGTAAAGTGGCTTCCGTGGTCGCCGAAGTAGGGTCTCTGTTTCCGCGGGTGCGGGCATATCGATCTGCGAAAGTTGTCGGAAGAAGTGCACAGGAGTGTAGCGGGAGCTCGATTTGCACTTCAAACTGTTGAAAAACTGATGGGCGCGGAGCACTTTTGGAAGATGAAGTCAGCAAAATGCTCACCACACTTTAGCGAGAGCTCGATTTCACATAAAAATACCTGTCACGTTCAGCGCAGCCCCGGATTTGTGTGGTCGAGTCCCCGTTGGCAGCGCTGCGCGAACGTTGGTCGATTTGGTGCGATGCTCCTGCTATGCGGGTTTGCAACCGGCTGTGACAAAACGGATTGGCACCGCTGCGCGCAGGAAAGCATCAGTGATGTTGCAACGCTCCTGGCAAGCGGGATTGCAGCTGGAGGTTGCTAAACACAGTGTAATGGCTGCGCGACAGGTAGTTCTTGACCATAGTGCTACTCTTGTGCTATGCGGGATTGCAGCTGGAGGTTGCTAAATGCAGTGCAACAGCTGCGCGAAGAGAAGAATGTTCGTTGCAGAAGCTACAGAAGAGCTAGCTGGGAAACAAATCAGAGCAGAAGTAGCCCAGATTCATTCAGTCAGTTGTTCATGGATTCTTTCAAGTCTTTTCATTGGCATCTCAACAACCATTTGCTCATTCATTGGTGCACCTCACAACTTCAACACTTCGTTGCGTCTGCAGCTCAAAACTTTCCTATAGGCCATCTTCTTCCTATCGTAGTCTTATTTTTTTTCGAAGCTTGCGTTTTGGCGCAGGCCGGGCACTACTGGTATAAAATGCGCTGCCTCTCCGCAACTGATACAACTGGCAGGCAATTGTAAGAGACTCTGCGGGGACTCTCTCATAAGGCCCTATGGTGGAATATTCTTGCAGGACAGTGCGCCTGCTAGGCAAAAGACAACACGATATACTGCGCCAGCAATGTATACCCTGCGCACAGCAATCACAGCGAGGTTTGCAAAAACCACGATACTGCGCGTCAAACGTGTTGCGCCTGCCAGGCAAGATTCACCCGAAGCTCTGCGTCCGCCATACACAAACAACTCCCACGTAGAAATCGGCACCCGAGCAAAAGTCATGCTTGAATGCAACAATTCCACTGCGCTCCGCACGCAATGCGTGTCCGTTTCAGGCCAAGAGTGCTCGACGTTTTGCAGATTTTTTGTGAAGAATCTTGAACACGAAAACAGGACGAAGCAACCGCTGCCCAATCCCATGCCCCCAAGTTAAATGGGAAACTTTGACTATGCATCAGGAAAAGGATGATGTTTTATGCGAATCATAAGGTAATGCCAACTGTGCGGTTTTGACGTCTCAAGTGTTCCAGTACAGCTCTGGAACAAACGAAGGAACTTTGTCCCAACATTGGCTGAAGCTATTGGGTTCTTACTTTTCATACTTGATTTTAGCCTCCGGAACCCAAGCATGGCAATGGAAAATCCACCATTTGTAGATAATTTTACCATTTCAATGCCGTATGTAGGAGGCTTCCGAGTCAGCCATGTTTGTTTCGTGCTGGGTTGTTTCAATGGGGCCTCAACTTAGATGCGAATGGTCCGAGAGGACTGTCCGGTCCCCCACATAGGTGTCTTCCAGCATGCTGGTGTAAAGTGCATTGGCCTGAATACCCAAGCCTCTTGCGAAAGTTGAAAGCAAAACTGCCACGCAAGCCTTGTGCTCTCTGGGACCTTTGGGGTGTAGTACAACCCAGCGGAAAAGGATAGGACACCCCATGGGGATTCAGAATCGTGCTGGTGGCCAAGCGTCATCCTCTTATATCCCATTGGTCGTTTACAGGTTTTATACCGCCAATTTTCTTGCATAAAGCCCATTTAAAACCATTTAACGTGCTAAACCCAGTAATAAACTATAAAAAACTATTCCCAATTTGCTCGAATAAATGGGTGATTTAAAACAAAACAGCCCAAAAAAGAAGATGGTTTACAGCGTTGGTTGAGTCCAAGACCACAGTCCAGGCCCAGCTACATGAGATCGAACTTGTGATCGATGCGAGAAAAGACTTCCGCAATCGCCTTGGCTCATGAGCTTCTGTATCGGGCATTCTGGGACGTTTCTACATTAGTTTCTTCATGTACACATACATATGTATGTCTGGATGGATGGAAGGCATGCATGCACGTGTGTATTATACATCATATATATTGAATGTGTATATATATATATATACATATATATTTATACATATTACATATAATTATATATAGTTATATGTAATCATATGTAATTATATGTAATCATATATAATTATATCTATATACATATTATATATATGTATTAATATATATATATACACAATATTATATTAAATATTATTACTATAATATGACATATATACATATATATATATATGTGTGTGTGTTAGATATACGTACATTAAATAGAAACTTAATATATATTATTATAAATTATATATAATATCAGTGCAATACATACATACACATATTGTTTGCGCCGTTTTATATAAATGTAGTCTCCATATCGGGGAAGTTTGGCTTCCTGTTGTCAACCTACGTATCCTACGTCCTTCCACTGTTTTGGATGCCTGAAAAACCTTCCAACAACCCAATCAGTTGCCATTTTGCTGAGCAATGCATACCTGGGACCTTCTTGTCAAGTTCACACAGCTCGCATAGTTCACACAGCTCAAGTTAGTGTCAAAATGGTGTGGCTTGTCAATACTCTTTGAGTTCAGCACCCTAGGGCAAACTCTGATTCCGTCAAAATATCGCAGCGAAGTTGGCTTCAAACCCCGCAAGAAAACACAGCCAAAGTGGCGGTGGAATTGGAAATCATGCAGCAGGCGCGCATCACCTTGGCCAAATCTCCTCCAGGAACCACCTTAGATTTGCCAGACATTTCCGACTATGATGGCTCCCCAAACGGCGGGTTTCTGATTGGGGAAAGAAATAAAAGACAAAGCCTAGAGACAGTAGGTGGCTGATAGTTGATGCCACACTTAAAGCCAGTGGGGCACCAATCCACGAACTGGATCGTGCGCTTGGTCTTGATCGTTGCAACTGCTGCGTTCACATCCTTTGGCACCACATCTCCTTGGTCATGTCAGGAGAAAGGTCTGGGAATTTCGCCATGAGCCCCACATTCTTATTTCGGATGCAAAAGGAAAGGTATTGGCTGCCCAGGCAGCATGTCTCAGCCATCTCGGTGCAAGGAATACATAATCAGCGGGTGAAAGTTGACAGATTTGCGGCTAAGTTTCCACGATACATCATGCAGCAGGCCATGTACTTGCCGTGACGAGGATCGCACTTCACCATCATCGAGGCTGGCTCGAAGACGGACATGGTGATCTCTGCCACAGAAAGCTGCTCATGGTATGCCTTCTCCGCGGAGATGACTGGAGCATAGGAGGTCAACATGAAGTGGATGCGCGGATAAGGCACCAAATTGGTTTGAAATCTGGCAGCTGTCACTGGTCAAAAAAACAAAAACATAACTAATGTCAGATTGATCCCCACCAACTGACATTTTATCTGACATATATTTTAGCAATCTATTCGACATATATTCTGACATGTTATCTAATATGTTTCCTGACATTCGATTTGACATGTTAGCTGGCATCAATTGTTTTGACACATATACTCTGACATTCTAGACACCGTATCTGGAATCCTATCTGCCAAATATGTGTGTATGTATATATGTATATACATTCCGACATATAATATATGTTGCCATTCATTCTGACATTCTATCTGGCATTTTTTCGGTCACCTTATCAGACATTTATTCTGTAGCATACCCTGGAAGGGTATGCTACATGCCCCAGGGAGCAAGGACTTATTGTCTACGTATCTGGAGGACCTCACGCCCGTTTGGGGGAAAAAAATGAAAAAAAAAAAACGTCAAAAGTGAAAGAAAATCCACTACTTGGTGGCTCATCCCACGAATCGTAAGTGGGTTAGTTCACCCCAGTTATAAGTGGATTAACCCTACTTATCCCATGTCAATCACTGGGGTGAACTAACCCACAACCACGAGCCGCGGGTAGTTCGCCACCAAGTAGAAACATCCAGGAAGCTCGGTGATGTCAACATTCAGTGCACCGTCGAAGCCTGGCAACTATGGAAAAAATCCATGGCCACTGAAGAAATTTCTATGGCTATCCTATGGGATAATCATGGGGATACCCTCTGGTAAATTAACAAAAAACTATGGAAAATCGCCATTGAAAAAATGTGTAAATCCACTATTTCCACTGGCCATTTTCAATAGCTATGTAACAAATTACCACAGGGTATAGAAGATATCAGAATAACACTGAGATGTACCAACATAATTCGGGTTTTGTCTGAAATCTGACGGGAACAAAATGGATGTTTGGTGATCCTTTTGCAAAACAAATGGCCACAATTGGGGGGTACCCCATTTTCCCAAAGCCCAATCTGCAGTGTTGCCAAGTTGCGAAGTGACGCCGTCAGACTGGAAATGATCTGGGCAATCAACCTGTTCAGGTTAGTGTAGGTTGGCCGCTCGATGTCCAAGTTCCTTCGGCAAATATCGTACAATGCTTCGTTGTCGTACATGATCGTCACATCCGTGTGTTCCAGCAAGGAATGCACACACAACACCTTGTTTTCGGAAATCTACAAAACACAGCTAAAAGAAACGATTACTTTGCTGGGGACATACCAAAACAATATCGAAGCAAAAGACTAAAATAGAACCACTTAGACAACAGCAAGTTGCGGTGTTGTATGGTTCGACAACTGCTGTGGCAACTTGTGGGCAGCACCACACAGTGAAGGAGATCTTGCTCTTTTTGCCATAATCCACCTTAGGATGCGCAGTTCGGCTTGCGATGGTCTCACGGAGCTGTAAACATCACATGAAAACCATTCTGAATGCACTGAATGCTGAACGAAACACTGACAAACGCTCCAACATCAAGCACCCAAGTCCAGATCCAGTGCCACCCCCGCAAGCATTGTAAACGCAGAAGCCTTGCAATCCTCAGATGCGGAGCGCTGCGGAGCGGTGCGGAGCTGTATCCAGTCCAGGAAAAGAGAGGATTATGGCAGTGCATGTTTGTTCCGCTGCTAGGCTACAGGTTACGTTTCTGTTAAATGCCCCTTCATGTCTGGCGCATGTTGTTTCGGGAAGATAATGGGAAGCGGCGAAAACCGGACATGTAGCATTCTTCCGTTCTGGAAGTCGGATGGTGAGACAATGACTTGGTCATTTTTAAGATCGGTTCCCCGATGGTAATCTCCTCACTGCTCCAAGACAAGTCTTAGAATCGCATGTAAAATGAAGGCACATGACACAGGAGCACACTAAAAGAACTAGTGCAGTAGTTGAGTACCATGCTGTCCAGCTTTTGCCTTCCCAAGTCTGTGGGGACAACATGCATTTAACAAGACAGCCTGCCTCTACCATATCTCCTGAAAGAAAACGTCTTTTTCCAACAAACCTGCCTTTCCCATCAAAGAAATGTCTTGACAGAATGTGCATCCTTTTCACCGGCACATGCAATAGTTTACAAAGGAACATAGAATTCTTCTGTCACTGTGCTTCAAGCTACAGAATGGTCATAAGAACGATTAACAATCCCGATATAAGCTGAGGTGATCAATTATGTCCTGTATAAAAATACAAGAAAGATTTCCATGGAGAAAGCAGCATGTTCTTTTAAGAAGGTATATACAACGATTTAGCTTGTCACGTGGAAAAACAAGGCATGAATTACACTACGCACACGAAATACATAGAAATACTGCATTCTTGAAGAGGTGCATGTCCTTCACAAGTTCCAGAAAACACTCTCAACTTTCATGGACCAGCAGAGGTAGGAGAGGGAATCAGAAATGAGCCTTTTTGCTCAGATTGAAAGTTGAATACATGACTTCCTTCGACAAATTGCAACTTTCCAAACATTGCTGTAAGTAGCATACAAGAAAACATCTCGCGAGTTTTTTGTTGAATCCAAGCACCATTTGTTATGGGCAGGTTCGTTAAAAAGCGACAGGATGAAACCAACTCATTGAAAGAGAAAAAACATGGTTCCATTGAAGGTATCAATATCCCAGACTGAAGAAGAATACATGATCATTTTAAGGACATGGCTACCAACCACCGGCATAATGAAAATTTCCTGATTCCGTCCTGCCATGGCCTCCATCAAAATTGCCACAACAAGGTTCGTGATTCCAGAGATCGTACGATTCTATTGTAGTTTGCACCAACCCGGATAAAAACGGGGTTTTCTGTGACAAATTTGATCCGCTGTATTCTTTGAATAGACTGGTGTATTTAACCTTTGTGTGAAAAGAACGCCACTTTCATATCCAGAAAAATGTTGGTCCTATCAAGAAAAGTAAACAACATAAGCCTCCAACTCTCTGGAAAGGAAACCAACCGAAAAACAATATTGCACAACCCAATGGTATCAAACACGGAAGGACCTCGGGTCCCGTGGATTCTCCTCACGGAGAGAGTTGTGCGCAAATGGTTCGCGGTTTTTCTTACAAATGAGTGAAAACACATCGCTGCGATTTGCACAAACGATGGTACATAATGACTTCATCGAAGGAAGTTTAGAAGTCAAACTTCCGACAATATGGACAGATGAAAAGCAGAGCAGGGAAGAGGCAGAGAGAAGAGAAAGATTAGAAGAAAGAAGAGTAGAAGAGAAAGGTATAAGAAGAAAGAAGATGCAGATGCGTGAAATGGTAGGAAGGTCGCGAAACACTGTGTTTTCCCAATGATTTGGGGCTCCGGGGGGTCGAAAAGTAGGCTCGCTAAAGCGGCGGGTGCGGAGCCAGCTGGCCAGATGAGAGATGAAAAATTGCGCGCCGTTGTGGCGCGAAGCACATTTCCAAGTCAAAATGTACAAAACACTAGGGGTTCGGACCACTCTTGGAGGTTCAGATGTCGAAAAAGTGCACGCGATTGTGGCGCGAAGCACATTTCGAAGTGAAAATGTACAAAACACTAGGGGTTCGGACCACTTTTGGAGGTTCAGATGTCGCTTCGCCGCTTCGCTTCACTACACTACACTACGTTACATTACACCACACTCTACTATACTACACTACATTACACTACACTACACTCCACAACACTACACCTACAACTACACAACTAGACTACACTCCACTACACTCCACTACATTAAATTACACTACACTACATTACACTACACTACGCTCCACTACACTACACTACCTTCCACTACACTTCACTACATTACACCACACTCCACTACACTACAACTACAACTACGACTACACAACTACACTCCACTACACTACACTACACTACCTTACACTACACTACACCATAGAAGATAGATAGGTAGGTAGATAGTCAGAGAAAGAGATAGAAAGAGAGGAGACCTCAAGCACCTTTCGGTCCATCAGTGGATTCGCTCTGCCATCCCTGATTCACAACAACCAACCTCTCCTATAGGTTTCCTATTTTTGAAACTTCCGCCACCGCCTTGTGCGGTACTACTGGTAATTCAACCAAACAATGCGCTACATGAGTGTGCCCTTGTGAAAAAATAAGAATCTTCAGTTCGTTTTTTGAAACAAAAACTCCGGGGTGTAAACCGAAAAAATATTTCTGAATTCAGTCTGGGTTTCCTGTGCAGTTGTCCGCCAGTTTTCGAATCCTGTCTAGCACCAAGTCCACAATTTCTTTGCCAATGGTGTAGTGACCTCGTCCCGACTGATGAAAGCGTCAAAAAGGCAATATCCCATGTCAAACGAAAATGTTGGAACGCAAAATGCACAATCTGACACCTCAGGCAAGAAAACGATGCAAGGTTCACCGCGCATAATTTTTCAAAAAACAATGCCATGCATGTAGGTCCAGAGATGCAAAAAATTCAGATCAAGTCACCTCGTGCAAAGTTGTTTGCCGCGTCTTCTTTTCCTGAAATTAGTTGTTCCGGATGGAAGAGCTGGCGGTATGTGCCCGTGCGCACCTCGTCAACCACCGTGGGTTCCTGTCAGCATCCGGGGTTCGGAGCCCCAGGTTCACTACCGCCATCACCAAGATTACTAAAACCATCATCCTACCTGTTTGGAATTGTTGGTTTTGGTGGGGTTGTTGCGCATGTTATTGTTGATGATGATGATGAAGATGATGACGTTGTTACTGTTGTTGTTGCTGCTGTTTGGTGCCTTGTTGCTGTTGGTGGTGGTGTTTTTGGTTTTTCTGGTGTTTCTCGTGTTTTTGATGTTTTTGGTGTTGTCGTTGCTGTTGTCGTTGCCGTTGTCCTTGTCGTCGTCGCCGTCGCCGCCGTCGCCGTCGCCGTCGCCGTCGCCGTCGCCGTCGCCGTCGTCGTCGCCGTCGTCGTCGTCGTCGTCGTGCTCGTGCTCGTGCTCGTGGTTGTGGTGGTTGTGATTGTGGTTGTGGTTGTGGTTGTGGTTGTGGCTGTGGCTGTGGCTGTGGTTGTGATTGTGATTGTTGTTGTTGTTGTTGTTGTCGTTGTCGTTGTCGTGGTTGTGGTTGTGGTTGTGGTTGTGGTTGTGGTTGTGGTTGTTGTTGTTGTTGTTGTTGTTGTCGTCGTTGTCGTTGTTGTTGTTGTGGTTGTGGTTGTGGTTGTGGTTGTGGTTGTTGGTGTTGTTGTTGTTGTTGTGGATGTGGTTGTGGTTGTGGTTGTTGGTGTTGTTGTTGTTGTTGTTGTTGCTGTTGCTGTTGCTGTTGCTGTTGCTGCTGTTGCCGGCGGTGATGTTTCTGTTGTTGTTGCTGTCTTTTGTTGCTGCTGTTGCTCTTACTTGTTGTTGCTCTTGTTGTTGCCTTGTTGTTGCTGTGTCTGTTGTTGTTGCTGGTGGTGATGTTGCTGTTGTTGTTGCTGTCGTTGCTTTTGGTGGTGTCTCTGTTGTTGTTGCTGTTTGTTGTTGCTGCTGTTGTTCTTGCTGTTGCTTTGTCTGTTATTTCGCTGCTGTTGTTGTCGTTGTTGTTGTTTTTGCCTACGGACCGAAAACTGAGGTCGCGAAACGCTTCTTTTTCGAGCCGGAGGTTCTTGATGCTACGCTGATGATGGGGTGGGGTGGGATGTTTACGTTCGTGTGAACTTGCTGAGGTTCTTGATGCTACGCTGATGATGGGGTGGGGTGGGGTGGGGCATGTTAACGTTCGTGTGAACTTGCTGAGGTTCTTGATGCTACGCTGATGATGGGGTGGGGTGGGATGGTAGGTGTTGAACTGTTCGTGTGAACTTGCTTGATGCTACGCTGATGATGATGGTAACTTGGTGAGGTTCACGTTCGTGTGAACTTGCTGAGGTTCTTGATGCTACGCTGATGATGGGGTGGGGTGGGGTGTGGGGTGGGGCATGTTAACGTTCGTGTGAACTTGCTGAGGTTCTTGATGCTACGCTGATGATGGGGTGGGGTGGGGTGGGGTGGGGCATGTTAACGTTCGTGTGAACTTGCTGAGGTTCTTGATGCTACGCTGATGATGGGGTGGGGTGGGGTGGGGTGGGGCATGTTAACGTTCGTGTGAACTTGCTGAGGTTCTTGATGCTACGCTGATGATGGGGTGGGGTGGGGTGGGGTGGGGCATGTTAACGTTCGTGTGAACTTGCTGAGGTTCTTGATGCTACGCTGATGATGGGGTGGGGTGGGGTGGGGTGGGGTGGGGCATGTTAACGTTCGTGTGAACTTGCTGAGGTTCTTGATGCTACGCTGATGATGGGGTGGGAATGGAGTTTCATCCACACGTACAAAAACTTGGCGAAAGCCACGGTGTCCAAACTGCAAGAGATGTAAAAATGACGGTGCGGACAGCTGAGCATGCCTGAACTTGTTTGAAGCAGAAATTGCGTTTCGCCTAGGCGAAATACACATTTATCTAAAAAACCACCAAATACAGACGTCTGAATTTCAGAGTTTTTGTGATCGCTGACTTGTGTTTTCGCCTAGGCGAAACGATGATTTTTTGAAAAAAAACAGTATTTCACGACCTCACTTTCCGGTCCGCCGGGTTGTTTTTGTTGTCCCTGCCGCTGTTGGTGCCCTGGTGCTGTTGATGCTGTTGATGCTGTTGGCGCTGTTGGTTCCTTTGGCTACTTGGGTTAACTTTCGAACTAGTGTTGTGTGCTGCGTGGCTGGCTTAGTGATCTCAAAGCTGCCGATTGACATTTGTCCCGCAACCCGGAAGTTTCTCATCTAAATCCTCTTTGAGTATGAGATGAAATGAGGTTACAAGAGGCTGCTTCCGGTTTTGTTTGACAAGATCAAAAAAGATTAGACTGGACAAGATGAAACTGTGCTTGGACTGAATATACAGGTTCGATTGAGCTAGGGGAGCTTCAGATTTGAGTAGATTAGAGTAGGCTGAATAAATAAAAAAGAAGTAGGCCGATCTGAAGCAATAGGTAGGCATAGAAGATCGACAAGACATTGAAGATAAGGAGAATGGTGAGAAGGCAGGGTTGACGAAGATAGACAGAAAGAAAAGATGGAACAGGCAAAAAAATCAATCTGCCAAGTAAGTTAAGATAAACCAGGAAGCAAAGCATAAAATATAGCAAAGCGCGGTAGATGAATGGGTGGGACAAAGATGGTTTTTTGTAGAGGGAGAGGCAGAGAGAGAGAGAGAGAGACAGAAAGAAAGAAAGAAAGAAAGAAAGGCAGGAATTCTATGTATAGGTAGACAGGCAGATAAATAATCCACAGGCAAGTATACGTATAGATAAATCATATTTGTGCACTTCGTCGTATCAGCGATTCCTGACAGCCAGACTTGTGCACTTAGTAACTACCTTGGGCCTGGAACCTTGAAAGATTTGTGGCATGCCCGTCTCAAAATATTCAAGCCAAAGTTCCAAGTCCACCATCACGCAGCGAGGAACATGTTTGCCCGCACCAGTCTCTGAAAAGAACCTCAGACCAGCTCGGCTCGGGTGATTGATTCGGGCAGGTTACCGCACCACAACGGGAGCCTTTAAACATGTCAATGTACGAGCTGTTGAAATCGTGGCCGCTGGCTAGCCATCATCGGAGCGAACTTGCACACACACAATCCCGACAGAACCCATGAACCCGAAAAGGATTCCCAAGTACTAACAATATCGAGGTATGTCTGGAACTTATCTACGTTTCTGTTTTTCATGTTGCGGTTTTATCCTCAGTAACAGTTTTTTTTCTGAAAAGAGTGTATCCCTGAGACCCATGTTTTATCATCATATTCCCCGTTAAAATGAAAAAATGTTCATGTGGTGATAAATCCGCGACATTTTTCGACACAACCACTTTGCCAGGCGTCAACCCCCACCAAGAAACGTGTTGAATGCATCGTCCCCGCCACCTCTGAAAGCAGCAAAAAAGATATGTAGTTTGGCGGTGCCAACTTACACAATGACTTGGCTGGAATAACGATGTCTTACTTGGAAAAATGTTCAGCTTGTTTTAAAGATTAGACCTTCAAAAATAGAAACAACAATGAGTGATGGGACATGGCCCCAACCAAAGGAACAAATCAACCAGGCCCTTTGGTTGGTGCGAATTCTTCCACGCTATGAGTGAAGCTTAGGAACTGTCATCCAAGCCCACCAAAAATCCGACAATAATTTCAGCATAAACAAGTGTCCTACCAGTACCCAACTCAGCGTCTCTACTTGCACACCGCATGTCTTGGGTCTCACACAGGGGATGAATCTTTCATGACATCATATGCGCTGGGGTCAAAACCTGGTATATGGTTGATTCGATTGGGTATAAAGAACCCTATTCTCTATTGATCTGGGCAAATTTTAACAATTCACAAACCTGAAATAAGACCATATTGGATCATATTGGGATAATTCCCCTTGCTAACCATTATTCCAGTGAGGTCGCAGTGAGGTCGCTATAATTTCCCCAGATTGATGGATTGATGACTATAATATGGTAACACGGGGGCTCGAGGCCCCTGACGAAATCAACATTTTCAGCAGCAGCGTGCAATGGTTTTTTCAACCTTCGCAATGTTTTCTGAACATCGATAGTTGGAAAATGGCCACGAAAATCCATGAGGACGGGGTCCAAAACACACTTTCAATGGTATTTGCAGGGGATTCTGCACCCCATCGTCTCCAATTTTTTGACAACAATGTCCTTCTCTCCATTTTTCTTTCCGTGGCCAACAGCTGGAACAAGTTCTTGTCGACGTTGTTCTTTGCCATACATATTGATATGCTTGGCTGAACAACTATGGGTTGGGCAGGCCATCGACACGTGTCTTTACACGGTCACATATGAAGCCTTTGCACCATGTTCACAGCTTGTCGTTTTTCTGCGTTCCAGCAACTCGACTCTGTGCTCAACTCATGCACCCCGAAGAGTGCACAGCGTACCAACACGTATGTCACTTCAATTCATGAAAGATGAATCATCAGGAGCGTATTATCAAGAACGTTATCACGGCCAACCCCCCACCCCCCCCCCCCCCCCACCCCCTCCGAAACCGCCACAAGCAATAAGCAGTGTAGCAACATGTATGTCATTTGAAACACCCCAGAGGACCTGGTCCGACATCTCTGTCACAAGTACACCATTAAAATCCATTAAACGCATCTTCATCTTACACAGCATCAATGTAGTAGATTCATGTGGCAGTGTGTCAAAACCAATAGTACCCCTTCTGTTCACATCAAAATAGCTGGGATTTATGGATGTTCATCCCACTAAAATATGGTATCTATAGGTATTGACCCATACCCATGTTCAAATTTTGTAAATGTGCAAACTCTCAGGGACCCCGAGTCTCCGTGTAACATGTGTAACCTCTGACCCAGTCTCTTCGTCATCCCAGCAGCCGATGGTCTTATCGGAGGGCATCTGGCCATCCGGCTGAATGCCATGCTCCAAGCAGAAGAGCTCCCAGCACCTAAGAGAAGTGCGATAGACCCAAGAAATCTTAAGAATATGGGTTTGTCTGAAAATAGGGTATATTCCCAATTATAGCCATTTAATAGGGATAATGATCAGCAAAACCATTGGGTTTAGGGGTACACTATTTTCAGACACACCAATATGTTGATAAACCATGGGACTTTGAAGGGCTACCCAAGTTTGGAAGACCTCAAGCCCAACGGAGAAAATCGCCCCATTTCGCCAAGTGTCGCATTGCCAATCTGAACTCCGCCCTGGCGGCCGGAACTTGGTATCAACTATCAAATCAGCTGCCCTGGACTTGCTCGCACTTGATCTGCCAACAGGGCATCCCTTTAAAAATGCAGTTGGCACAATATGAGGCACCTCAAGAGCCATGATGTGAAAAGGCAAAGTGAGGATTAATGATTAATTAAAGAATTTCAATTTTAAGACACTTTAAGACGTAATGTGAGATGCGATGAAAATAGCGACGCAACGCGATGCGACGATCCAATGTGAGGCGCCGCAGGTGCCATGTTTCAACATGTTTCAACGATGCGATGGATGTCGCGGTCGCGGACGGCTGAGGTCGAAGAATCAGAAACTGAAATGATGCCCGACGGAATTTTGTGATGTTGGCAATGTGAGAAGTTGTGACGTCTGTGTCGTTGAAGTTGTGTACAGCCTGTACAGGATTGACATAGAAAGATATAGAAAGTTCAAGTCCTGTATTGCGTGTTAGATTAGATTTCGAAATTCAAGTCATATATGCTGTGATGTGAAATATGCTAGGAATTGAAGCTATTTGCACTTTGATGTATGAATGCTGTCAACCACGTGGTTAGTAAAAGACACGCCCTAGTGGTTTTAGATGTTCCAAGGTCTACTACATAAAGAGCGGAAGCGCTTGCAATTGTAAACAAGACATACGTAACTGGCACAAACGACAGGTCTTTGAAATACACAACATGATCGATATCGACAACGAAAGTGTTCTTGTGCCAGTGTGCGTGGGAAAAAGACCAATATGGAACACGTGAACTGCTATCTGGTTTCGATGCTTCAAACGCAAAATGAGGGCATCTCGGTCATGGTGCCGCAAAGATATCAACCACCAACAAAACAAAGCCCAACTCACCAGCCTGTCCGATATGGATGCAGATAGCCTCGCGCATGGCTTTGGGTACAGAGTGTTTTTTTCACAAAAGGGTTTCGTGTCGAAGCACACCGTGTGATGGGGCACACCTCAAGCACAAATCCTTTGAGCCATATAGGGCAGAAGGGCAAGCTGCGAATCCGGGTGACTCTGGTCGCTTTGTGGATTGGTTAGTCATCTCAATAGAAATAGGTATAAGGCCGAAACCTACCAGGCTTCGTCCATGCTCCTTGTGCACTTTTTTGGTGGAAACGGTTCCCACTTCCAGATTAGTCACCTAGAAAGAAGCCATTCAGAGGTTGATACACCACGTGCATTCCCTAGACCACCAGCTAAGGCGCACCGGCTGGATGAATTCAGGACACCCAAAACAAGAGGTCATATTCATTTGAACCACTACTGAACCTTCACGTAAGGCATAACGTAAGGCATTACACCTGAATTTTTCAGCTCCAAATACTCCAATCTCAACTCTGCGCCCGCTCAGACAGTCACGCAGCCCGCAGGGGTGGCACCTGGGTCCTCAGCAACCATCAGACCATCAACAGCCGTTGGGCATTCACCGATGGAGAAATCGTTTCAGCCCTAGCCGTTGCCCAAGCATACTGTTTGTGTGCCATGTCATAGGAGCATGACCAGTGACCTGATTCTTCGCAGCCGCTGTCCTTCCCAACATTGGTCCTACCATCTGGTTGCGAATGTGCTTATTTTTTAACCCAACAAATCCTAAGGGGTTGCCAATTGTGAATTGTGGGAGAACACGATTGACCCAATTTTGGTTGCATGTAAAGGGGTTTGATTTGTCAAATCATCCTTACACTCAACATTTTGGCCTGCGCAGATGTGGCAGTTGTCGTAAACACGGCGGTGGTGGGGCCCTGGACTTCACCAAAAAATCATCTTTCCGATGACCGTCGGTGTGGGTTCAATCCCAGATGCCTCTACAGCTTTCATCTCGAAAAGCGCAAATTCACATATTTGGTTAAATCATTCATGTTGAATGACAATGAATGACATACATGTCATTTGGCTTTGTCATGGTTTGTCTAAAAAAAGGGGCTCCTGCACAAAAAAGCCACTGGTTCATTATCATGTAGTTGGGGATTTCTATAAATGGGGCTACCCCCAAATGGATGGTTTATGGAAAATCCTATCAAAATGGATGAGAACTGGGGGTACCACCATGACTTGTCGGAAACCCCCAGCTATAGCCAACACGGGCCACCGATGGGACCGTCCGCAGATCCAAGCGACACAGGCAGCCTTCGCCGGCGCGACAGGCTTCACCAAGTTTAAGCTTGAGACGTCGTGGATGGCTGCAATGCATTCCTCAGCATGGGAAGAATTTATGGATTTTATGGTAGGTTTAGCCCTGTTGGAATATAACCCCATAATGTGTGGGGTTATGATGTATAATGTGAATATATGATATGAATATATAATGTGAAAACATGGTGTGAATATTTGACGGAATCATTTTTGATGGAATTTAGCCAACAATCATGTGATTTTTTCTGGAATACCTGAGAAGATGAGAACGAAAGCCATGTTTTTTCCAGCCCAATCAGGCTGGGAATGCGTTGGTTGGTCGCTTGGCTATGAGTCTCTCCTCCTTTTTTGCTGTCAAAAAGTTCTCTATGAAAGGGGGTGTGTGGTGTCTGGACGGTGCTCGTTCTTTCCATTCAATATTTAATATGCAGCCTGCACAGCAAACAGAAATCTTAGCTTTGATTCGGGAAGAGAAGGAAGGGAACAAGCGTGTGAAAGGTGGAAAGGATAGGAGGTAGGGATCCCGAAATAAGCTAAAAGAAAGGGAAAGAGAGAGTTTCAGGAGGATTGGTAGAGGTAGGGTCTTGGAAAGAGGTATTGTTAACATGGTAGACTTAATTCCGAAAGAGGCGAGAAAGACAGGGGAAGGGAAAGGTTCAGTGTTGGTCAAAAAAGGTTGCGAAATAGTGAGGTGGTTTGTTTCTTCTTACAGTTGTTTCTTCCTCTCTTTTCCCACCTCTCTGACTGTTCCATCGCAATTGCTGTTTTTTCGTCCTGTTGAAGTTGTTCGTCCAATCTTTCCTGTGGAAAGCCTACACCTACGTTACCCGAATTTCGCGATTTCGGTGCCTTTCGGAAGCCACTACCCGCATACCCCCCTTTACTCTCACTACGTTCGCAGTCACCTCAGCCACTGCCTCCGGCTGGCTTTCGTATTGCAAAGCACTAGGAGAGCCAGCAAAAACAACAACCGGGATGGCGTTTTGGACAAAAGCACAGGCAAGAACCAACCAGACACAGCTTTCGAATGGAAACAAGGATCATCGAATGATACCGTGACACCAATGATACAATGCGCCCCGATCCAACATTATACTTCTGTGTTTTGTCCTTGTTCTTTTTCTACTTCTTCGGTCTCACCTTCGTTCGTCTGCTTCTTTTTACACTTCTTCCGGCTCTCTTTTTTTCTCGCCGCTGTGATTGTGTCATCCCAGCTTTTATCTTTCTTCTGGTCGTCCAGGCTCTCTGGCCTTTTTGAGTTCTTCGTGCTAGCTTTGATATGCTCCGATACCGGCCCTACGCGATACTTCCGCCTGTTCTTCTTCTCGTTCTTTTTCAACTTCTTCGGTCGAACCTTCTCTTTTGTTCCAGTCCAACCTTTTCTTTAATTCTGCTGCTTCTACTTACCATTGTTCCTTCCCTCTTTCTTCTCGCCTCTCTAAATGTTCCATCACACCTATTATGTTGTTTATTCTTCAAGTATCACATCTGTTATGCTTTTCGGTCCTCAAGTTCACAAATTGCCACGACATGGTACATGACCCAACAGATTCCTCAAGGCCACTGCCTCCTGGGTATGGTTGCCGAAACCCTATAGAAGTGGATTGATGACCATTTTTGAATATCAGCACTTAGTAACACTTAGCCCAAGTTTTGACCACGGCACAAGTGGATACCACCTAATGATCAGTTTGGAATGGATGTGCATCCAGCTGAAATGTGGTCTTGTCCTTGCCCAACAAACACATAACCATGCTCTCCAGGAAATGTTGAGTGCGTATCCAAAAAACGGTAAATCATATTTACTTTGGGGAACGTAGCTACAAAATGCGGGCCTTTGACAAACGAAGAAATAGCATATCCACCCAACATCTACCAAACATGATTTTTGCAGATTTTTGCTATGGTCACACTGGTCACACTGATACAGCCCCCGCCTCTTTCCCGGACTGGTGTCTCAGTTCCAAGGCACAGTCAGCTTGGCAGGTTGCTCTGCAGCTGGCAGCTGGAGAACCTGAACAAAACACGGCAGTTGGTCCCAAAATTGGTTTTCTCACGTCAAAGATAGGTGCTACCAACCCCAACCCTCACCAACCCTCAGTCAGCTCATATTTCACTTCTGCCATTTCGATCCAATGTGTCCCTTCCATTCTTAGAGCACTTCCACATGACATCCTGCCAGTGGTTGATAGCCAGGGGACGTCCAAGAGACACACGATGCGGTTCAGGGCCGTCATCTCCGCCTGGGTTAGACCGCCAAACCATGATGGGACGTACCCGGTAACAGTTTGCTGTGGGAAAATGGATAAAAATGGCCCATCTAATGTGATGATTGACCTCCTAGAAATCGCGGTTTTCCATAGCTATGTAAAAAATTACAAGAGGGTAAACCATGATGTAACCTCTAGAAAAGATGGTTTTACCAGTTTAACCAGCCAAAATGGTACTTGAGAATGGAAGAAAATGGGTATGGCCTTTCTTTGAAAATGGGAGATTCACGCCCATTTGATGGCCATCTTAATAAGAAGAATTGCACATTTCATGGCTGTGTATCCGTGTATCCCGTAACAAATGCGTAAGGAAGATATTGAGGGATCGTCAACCATGATGGAGGTGGTATGGGTCTTTGTTTACGGATCAGCATCAAGAAGGAGGTTGCAAGTTCGAAGTAATCCTGCATAATTTGACCCACTGATTGTCGTGAAATTCGCATCCCCATGAATCAAAAAAACATGATCAAAGAATATCAAAGACCTCTGCCCTCAGATTGGGCAAGATGCATGGTTTTACGATGTTTTAAGTCCCAAGCTTAGTAATCGTGATGCGGAGGTCCCATAGCCAACCCCCTCCAGCCACACCTGTCGGCTGCTGGAGAGTTCCTTGGCACTCAGGTAGGAGCTGTCCATCATGGAGACCTGTCGCGAAATCAACGTCTGAAATGATGCAACCGTTCTGGCTGGACTGCGAAAAAAAAACTTTTTAGAAGATATCTACCATCTGGTTATGACTAACATAGCCATGGAAAATCCCTTATAAATGGAGGTATTAATGGGAAAATCATCTATTTCTATGGGCCATTTTCCATGGCTATGTCAAATAACCAGGTATCATATTCTTAGATGATGCATGATGATGCAAAATCCTGTCTGCGAAGGTGTTTCCAGGGCTCACGGTATCTTCTTGGTCAAACGGTGTTTGAAGTCGCAATACTGTAAACGTATTCCATAATTCGTCCATATTCCCAAAGAAATCAGTATACAATGTTAATGATTGACAGTGATTAACATATTCTAAACTGATGTTAATCAACATATCTCAACATCCAACAGCCCCGACCTCAGAGGTATAGCAAGCATCGTAGTTGCTGCACGCCACCACCTTGGCCTCATAGGGTCCACCTTGGTCAAATTGTGGGTGCCAACTTCTCCGTTGTCACAGGCTAGGGGACATACAAAGACGGTGATGTGTTTATCTGTAGATGATAAGATCAGAAATTGGCTGAATCAGAAATGTGGAAATCAGTCAGAAAGGTTTGTGCATGTATCGTTAGGCAAGGGCAATGGAAATGGTGACGTCACAACAACAAGAGGTATACTTGGGCATAATCTGACCAAAAGATTTGGGTATCACCCAGCAACAATAATAGATATGGAGTGACCTTTGTCACCAACATGATCCATTACACCAAAACATAATGGGTACGTTATCTGACCAAAACCTTGGGACATGCTGTCTATACAACATAAACTATGGCAATGTGTATCTGGCGCATGAAACTGGGGCTACAAAACCAACGACAACAAGAGTACAAGGAAAAATGAATTTAACGAATTTGTGATGTATAAAATCAGCATGTACCAAATCATATGCAATGTATACCATACACGTCCCTATGGTCCCTTGCAATGTATACCATACACGTCCCTATGGTCCCTTGGTTTCATCTACAGTTCAGAGATGACCCAAAGTCAAAAAAAAGAACCTCCAGGGATCAAAGCACCTGACCACCGTTTGAACACGCTGGCACCAAGGAACAATTGGTTTGAGTCACTGGGTCATAGTAATGAGTGAGGTTGTCAGTAGAGGGCTGAGAGTAGTCCTCAGAGCGCCGTCAGCCATTTCTCGCCAGCCGTGAATCTGATGTTTGGATAGCTTTGGAGGTTTTGTCACACCTTTTCCACGGACCTTAAATGAAGTTCACACACTTGCAACGTTGACAGCACATTTTGTCGCAGTCTAATTAATGGGTTTTCAGGGTCTCATGATGGTCAACTTGCTTGTCAACTCACGGATTGAATAAATTCCCCGAAAAATAAGGGTGTTGGTTCTGTTCTCAACCAATCTCCACCATTTATAGATGATTTTCCCACTAAAACCTCCATTTATGGATGATTTTCCATTGCTTTTCCATCTACTTTTTTTTGAGACCAATATGGCCATCAAAGCCCCGAAGAGTGAAAAACATGCCACGCTGTCTCAATGAAAAACGTCGGGACCTCAAAATCAAGCACCAAGTTTAGCTGCCGAAGATTTCTACCGAAAAAAAAAAAAAAAACCGAGCCCCAAACCTGACCAATCCTCCCAAGAAATGCATCAAGAAATGCCCATTTTCTGGCGCATGTTTTTGCGAAAAATCATGGAAGCCACCATGACACACCTCCCAGCTGATGGTTTCCCCCTCCTGGTAGCTGTCGATTGTGAAGCTGCTGTCGTACGAGAGCTGCACTTCCATGGCCAGGCATTCCTGCCATGGTTTGGTGAAGCTTGGATGAAGGGGCCCCAGATGCTGGGGACAAGGCCATTCCACAAAGACTACATGACCCTCCCAAATGTCATTGGCCAGATTTTGATGTCACTGGCTTGAATTTGCCTATTTTGGGATCAGCTAGGATGAGGAAGTGTGTATTCTTCTACAGTAATAGCCATTGTTTCTGTTATCTTCGCTCATCCCCAACATCCCCAACATCTGCCCGGTCCTTCAACTTGTCACTCAACGCAATGGTGATGGCATCACATTCCGCCGACTTGCTGCTGTAGACCGAGCTGGTGTCCTGCCAGATTTGGCGCAGGATCCCCAGACATCCAAGACAGCTGGGGCCACACGCAGAGTGTGAGACTCCAAACAACCGATCCTGTCTGAAGATTCCAAAATGATTTTGTCATAAAATAGAATACCCCAAAACCCAGTCGTTTTTCATCATGATTTCCCGATGCAATGGTTATTTGGGGGCTTTTCTCCCATGGCTCGTCGATCCCACCTCTTCCAACCACAAATCCCCCCGGGCCCAGTCCGTGCAGTTCTGCTCACGCTGGCGGAGGGTGGCTAACATCTGAATGTCTCGCTCCAGAAAGTCCTCGTAGCTGCCTCAAGGGAAGCACTGCAGCTTGATTTTGAGGAGAAAATCAGGGGAAAAATCATGCATCTACAGGAAAACCCATGGATTTTGCCAACCAAAATATAGTCATTAATTACAGGGCTTTTATGCAAACTTTCCCTTCGACCAAGTTTAAACTCATTGACTCATGGGCTTAGATGGATGCAACCTGGGCCGCTTAAGAAACCTCGGGGTCTTGCAATCTGAAGAAAATTGCTCAGATAGATCCGTGACTGGAAGTGGAGATGCCAAACAGCACACGTTCATTAAACTCAAATATCTTGATGTCTTTCCAACAAGTTTGATCCTTGGGACCTGCACTTGGGCTAATGATTGATGTGGGAATGGGTCAAAACCTGAGAGTCACACCGCTGAAGAGCGTCGAATCTGCGCAACGTGCAATGCGTGCGGCACCTGTCGAGAGCATCAGCATGCAGTGTAGAAGACCAGGAACCTGGAAAAAAATAGAAAAACTCTAGAAGCCAATTGGTCCTCAGACTTCTCCCATCTCTAAGTTTATGATTCCATATCAACCCGAATTTCCACTAATTTCCAACTTACAAAGCTCAAAATCAGCGGCCATGGTACTGCTACTGGTCATTGGCCATATGGAACAACGAAATTCCAAGGTTGGATCGTCGCACCTGCACTCGGGTAGTTGATTTCGTTGTACAGCTCGCAGGTGGCAGTCTTTGCAGAGTGGGTGGCCACCAGTTCCTTAGTGCCAGCGTTGTGTGCCACTGTGGATCATTTTCGTTGCACAAAAGCAAGTGCTACAACCGCCCAAGAGATGAACGTCCGCACTTCTTCAGATCTTCCAAAAGTCAAGGCACGCTGTGGCATGTCTTGTTGCGCAGAATCAGCTCGGCTCCCTCGCAGACCCGCAGGGAGCTCAGGGGGAGGACCCAGGTCTAGGTCTGGTAGCTGGGAGTTTGGGGAAGAACACCCTGGAAGGCACTCGCCACTGTAAGTGAGTCTTCACACGGTCTGGGTTTGATTGAAAAAGTCAGTGAGTCCTGGGCCTGTGTGGTGCTGGACAAACTTCCCCCTCCGAAGACAAGACCAATAGATGGTCCTTGAAAGCTATTCCTCATGTCGCGGATATATCACAGGATTTCCTTGCATCACCGTATCACCTTTTTAAAGTGTCGGTCTCCCAGCATTTGACCAAAAGTGATGATACAGTTTATCTCTTTACAAGCAACTTTTGGGGTGCCGCGGTTAAGTTTGGCGCGCCTGAGCCTTGCAGGCTGCCAAGTCGGGATGGAGCGTGGTGGTCGTTGGCCCAGCTGGCGGCACTAGCGAGGTGACCCAGGTGACCCCAGCACCCACATTTCTACTAGGGATATCCAGGGATCAGTTCTGGGATTAATTCTAGGATCAGTTCTAGGATGGTAAATGTGTTTTTGTCTGGAAAGCCTTTGTTGGCTGATGGCAATGGGTCAGGCGGTCAGGCTGGTCTTCGGCAACAAGCTCTGTCCATGTTGAGGGCACCACGGCAAAATCGGGATATCAAACTAGATTGTTTATCCATGGCTCGAGCCGGTGGGTCATCTTCCAATTCAAGCATCCCCCTGAAATCATGGCCAAAAATTGCTTCATGGCCCCATGGCCCCATGGTGCCTGTGGTAGTTGTGGAAGTCGAAGTGGTGGTGGGTGCAGCTGAGGTCGTGGTGCTAACCATCTTGGCTGCCTGGAAATGGAAAACATTCAGAACTGGAGAACATCCCAAAATCCCTAGAGAACACATTAACCTCTGCGGCTTCACAAAAACTTGAGTTTTGATCCCGAACATTGCGGAGCCCGAGTGCGCGTGGGCGTGAAGGTTGAGGTCTTCTTCCCGGATCCTCATCTTAACATCAAAACCTATGGCCAGACCAGGCCTCACCAAAGGCCTGCTCCTTCGCATCCAAACATGTCTGGAAATTGCCCTGACTCTGAAGGGCCTCGGTTCAAGGACGATAGAAGCTGCCTCCGGCTCAAGGGTTGCACGTGCTGCGAAAAATGTGGTGCGCATATATATATATATACAGATAGAATCGGTGGAGTGCAAAGACGTTCCTTTGTGCTAAGTCCTGTTGTTTTATGTATCATTATAAGCATGGCTCAAAATGATTGACCAAAAAATGACATGGCGTTGTACCAAAACTAGCCCGTTTTGCAAGTCCCTTGATGCTGCATTTTTGAGCCATACCCATGAAGGATCATACAGTACACCAACAGATTAACAAATAGCAGGATTGGTGGAGAAAAAACTGCCTCACAAGCATCTTGCAAAGTGAGTCCTTGAATTGGACATATCCCGACAGGTATAATAAGTGCAAGCCAACTGCTGGAATATGTACAGCAAACTGCTGGAATAAATAAGTGTATGCCAACTGCTGGAATAGATGCAGCAAGCAAAGTGATGGTTCCAAAACATTCCAAAACTATGAAATCAAGCAACCAGGCATGATGTCAACTTTGGTGGCCAAGCTAGCCCCCGATGAAAATTGAACGGTTAGATCCGAACTGTTGTTGATTAATGCAGTGAACCCAATAGCAAACCCATTTTTTGGGCTATAGCGGCTATTGTATTTTCTATACCCTTCCATTTGGTAAAATTGGTCAATTAATGTGGGGTGTGACAAAAATGGTTGCAACAAACTTCGGAAGCAGCATCAGTCTCTGCCCAGAAGCTGTCTGAGCTTCAGTGTGCTGCTGCTCGATGGCAGTCGTCAGCCTGCATGGCTATGGAAGGGACATCAGCCTGTGACATCAGCCTGCAATCTCGGTCATCATCTCAATGGATTGGTTTAAGGGAAAATCTTAACCGGAAACCATGGTTTTAACCATCAAATATTGGGGTTTCCTGTAAATTTTCCACAATTGCCCGCCGCACGCCGCAGCCAGAAGCCCACGTCCCTCACGTCCCCAACGTCCCCAATGTCCCCGACGTCCCTGACGTCCCTGACCTCACGTCCCTAACGTCCCCAACGTCCTCCACGTCCCTCACGTCCCTGGTCTGATGTCCCTGACGTCCCCGACGTCCCTCCACGTCCTCCTCGTCCAGTCCCTCACGTCCCCAACGTCCCCAACGTCCCCGACGTCCCTGACGTCCCTGACCTCATGTCCCTAACGTCCCCAGCTTCCTCCACTTCCCCAGTCCGTCCCCGACGTCCCTGACGTCCCTGACCTCACGTCCATTACTAACGTCCCCAACGTCCTCCACGTCCCTCACGTCCGTGGTCTGACGTCCCCGTCCAGTCCCTCACGGTCTGACGTCCTTGACGTCCCTGACATCCCTGACATCCCTGACGTCCCTGCATCACGTCCCTGACGTCCCTGCATCACGTCCCTGACGTCCCTGACGTCCCTGACGTCCCTGACGTCCCTGACGTCCCTGACGTCCCTCCACATCCTCCACGTCCCTCACGTTGCTCAGGTCCCGCAGGTCCCTGGTCTGACGTCCCTGACGTCCCTCACGTCTCTCCCGTCCATCACGTCACGTCCACGTCCTCGACGTCCTCCACGTCCCTCACGTCCCTCACGTGCTCCTCCACGTCCGTCACGTGGTGCTCCACATCGCCCTCACGTCCCTCACGTCCTCCATGCCCTGATATAGGCTGTACCGGCGTTGCCACTATCCTCAGAGCGTCTCGATCCGTCCCCAACTCTTGCCCCTTACATCTTGCATTATTCTTGAGTGATGTCCCTGACTTCCCTGACTCCTCAATGTTCTTCATATTGTCAATTGATCTCTCCCGTCTGCGTGTCTTCTTCATGTTGTCTCCGTTGGCACACCGCTCTTGGGAATCAAGCCGCCGCTTGCAACTTGATCCTAACGGTTCCCTTTGGTGGCTGTTCGGTTGGGACTGCCTGGGTGGGAGGGTCGGGTTTGCTCGGGTCTTTGCTGTCTGTCTCGTCTGGCTGGTTGGCCTTTCCGTCCTTGCTGCTGGCTTTCCCTCTTCGCCCTTGGTCTGGGGTGCTCGTTTTGCGGAAGTCTCCTCTGGTTAGTTTCTCGGAAGTTTCGCGCTGCTACGCGTTTATTAGTTTCTCTCCTCTTTTACTGAGGACGTTGTCAGTTTCAGCTTATTTGAGTTTGAGATTTGTGCGGTATTTTTACTTCAGTTGTTTGATGTCGTTGTCTGGGCATGTCAGTTGATGTGAAACGCAAAAGCAAGACGTCAGTGCACAGTTGAGATTGGAGGTCGTTACTTGCATTCAATCATTCACAGGGGTTCTGGTATTTCAGGTGATAGGTCTGGTGAAACTTGTTCATTTAGATTTATTCTGGAGGGTTCAGACCTGAGATATCTCCATATTTACATACACAATTGATCTATGTCCTATTTCATATTATCATATTTACATAAATAGAAAAAAGATAATATGATATGTTTTGCAAATAAACAGACATGAATATATATATATATATATACATTGAGATAGATAGATAGATCGATCGATAGATCGATAGATCGATAGATATATTTATGCTTATGATATGCTAGAACCTACCCTACAACATGGTTGCGAACATGGCCTGCATTTTTTGGAGGCCTCATTCTCCATTTTTTGGAAGTTTTGAAAGGCAAGGACGTCCCTGACCTGACGTCCCTGACCTGACGTCCCCAACGTCCCCAACGTCCCTGACGTCCCTGACGTCCCTGACGTCCCTGACGTCCCTGACGTCCCTGACGTCCCTGACGTCCCTGACGTCCCTGACGTCCCTGACGGACCTGACGTCCCCGACGTCCCCGACGTCCCCGACGTCCCTGACGTCCCTGACGTCCCTGACGTCCCTGGCGTCCCTGACGTCCCCAACGTCCAACGTCCAACGTCCCGGGGAGCCCAGCAGGCTATCCTCAAATTTTCCCATCATCCAGTTCTATGATCATCCCAGAATCTGCCAGCTGGCAAAGAGACACAATATGATTGATACGCGTCGCATGGCTGTTCCGTGATCCGTATGAAAAACATGTCCATTATGGACCACGACCCTCAACTT